CGCCGACTACAACAAAGATAAAACCAGACCAGACAACCAGACAAATAGGTAAAAAATACGCTTGTAAACAATCAAAAAAGCGTATAATAAAGATGATAAACAATTGGATGCAAATGCAACCAGTGCACAATGCACTGCATACAGCGCAAAATATATGACAAGAAAACATAAACACTTGAAAGTTTGAAATCAAACCCCAAGGGCCTAGCCATAGATTTACATTGGATTGTTGTTGTTTACAACTTAACAGTCAGCGAAACATTCAGAGGAACTAGTGTTTGCATCCTCATTCCTCGGTAATGTAGCAGCAGTAGAACAAGTTATCTAAATGTCATCAAAATCTGAAACGTATCATTATAGTTCAGATGTATAAATCAATTATTACGTAACTCTTACCTATTAATAAAATGAATACTGCCAAATTAACAAGTTTATCTAAGTTTCAGAGGAGTGATTAGTATATAAATACATTCATAGCAGATTTAAAAATCTTAAAACGTTCAAGTCTTATGATTTTTATTCCACTTCTTTTTAAATTTAGATTGAAATAGAAACAAATGCACATCCATTGCCAAACAAGCCTCATACAAAACACACGAAGGCTAAAACAACAACCAATTTGCCCGAGGTGATTTATGTGAAATTCACGCAAATTTCACACATCAGATTCATTTTAGATCTACGTCAAACATAGGCTATATATATATGTATATATTGAATTATTTTCAAATGCCGATAATAAATTACACATCCTCAGGCAAGCGATAGTTAGGTTTAAATTTTAGAGAGACGTCATCGTTGAACTGATTGATTTGAAATTAGATTGAGAAAAGTATTTGTGGTTGTGGATTAATATTTTTATTAGAGACTTTACATAACCTCAAAACGAATTTATATAACGTCAACTATGAGATCATTTTCACAAATCTTAGTTAGACCCTTAGTTAGTTTTGCATCTGTTTTAAGAATGATATCACGACCGTTTACCAATCTTCAGTGTTATGAAGTTAGCTGTTTCAGAATTATTGTAAAATAAAGACTTTCATTCAGATATTTAAGATTCGATAGTGGAGGCCGGTGTACAGTCATTTTTTGCATTCAAAATTAGTATATATATCATTTGTCTACGAACACCACATCCAGCGCTACAGAAAATATACCAGAAATTTCTCATTTAATTTAGAAAATATTAATATTCTATGTTAACAATTTCATGTTCATTGTGTCTGTCCACATCATTTTGCTTTTTAGAAGTTAAAAATGAACATATAAGTAAATAAATATTGCAATGTACATAAGTATTTTGACAACATTAGTCTTTCTTATTGTGCAAACCAAGACACAGAGTAAGAATTCTTTTGGTTTATAAACAAGAGGAATTTTTTAAAGTATGCTTATTCATGTATGGTTCGCTATCGCTATTGTACCTTTAAATGCCTCTACGTTTTTTAAAGTCTTCAAAAACTTCTTTACTTTTCACCCGCTTTTCCACCACCCATCGCAAATGTAATGAATAAACAATAAACTTGAGAATATTATATTCAATTCAAGAGTCTTGCTGCACACTAACACAAATGTATATTTCTGTAATGTTCGTCTAACCGAGGTCAGAATTCTTCCGACAAGCATTTAATTTCTGTTTTTTTTTTTCTGTATCAGCTCGTGCGCTGTTAAGTTGTAATTGTCGCTAACTTTCATTGATTGATTGAGCCTAATTATAATAAAGCAGTCAGTTCTTGTTTACAAAATACTCTGACTTAATATAAAAATACCGGCATGGAACTCGTGTAACTAATTCCTATTATGTAATGGCTGTTGATGTTTTATAATATAATATATTAAAACATATTTTTTCTCATTTATAAAGAAGTTCCATGGGCGCAATGGGGCCTCTGGACTCAATGCGACCAACCTTGTGATTACGGACTACAGAGGCGGTATAGAGGCTGCGTACAAACTTCACAGGCGAAATGCACCGACAGACAAACTCGGTTATGTACTACTGGAACTTTGTGCTCCCATATGCACCCAAAAGGTCCGTAGTTTTGATAAATAACAGATTGTAAGGTAATTCTATAAACTCAACTGGTTGCTTCCGGCAAATTCTGTCAATGCTAATTGCAGTTCATTATGATTAAGGATGCTAAATATGACTACTTACAAATATTCGATTTTTATCTGATTCCTCAATTTTTGATTTCGATTCTCGATTCTTTGACATATCTGGCCGAGAAAACATACCCACTTAAACAATATATACTATATGAAATCAAACACGAGAGCTATGTTTAAATATGTGGAAGGACAAGGAGGCCAAAAATAAGTAGTATGGGTATTCAATTTGTCACAGTAGACAAAATCGAATAAAAAAACGAATCCCTCAGAACCCACAGCGACTTTTGAAATAAATGAACGTAGAAGCCTTCTAGCGAAATATATATATAGAGAGAAGTTTGCGCTGCATAGCAGTAAAGCAGTTTATACCTATATGTGAAGGACTTACCATAAAACGTTACACATTGTTTGCAATCCAAGTTTTAACCTTAATAAACGATTCCAATGCATTGGAATCGATTCTAGTCGATTCCGCGGAGAATCGATTCTGTAATCAAATCCAGACTCGATTTCGCCATCCCTAATTATGATAGCTAGAGGAGGAATAACAAATCTTGCCTTGCTTTGAGAACGTATATAAATACATCTTATTCCAGCATCGGCATTAGATAGGAACTTTAAACAAACAACGAATTTGTTAGAAATATTTTAATAAATTAAATTTCAGATATGAAAATGCCGGTGAATATTCATGAACCATATTGGCTGCCGTGGCAAGGCTGGTCGTTATGCACAGTAACCTGTGGTGGCGGTGTACGAAATAGAGTGAGAAAATGTGCGCCAGAATCCGGGAGAACTTGCCAGAAAACAGGGAGTGAAAATTGCAATTTGCAAAAATGTAAAAGCAGAAATCGAGGTTTGTTGGTTATATTCGAGTATAGAAATTTATTACAATTGCAAAAAATGTCGATAAATGCAACTTTCACTCAAAAATTATATAGACTCGACTGTGTCACTCATAACCGCTAAAAATAGACATGTCCGTGATTTACGGTTATAACCTCAAATAGTTAAGTACAGTTATCTTTGGCGTTTTTAAATTGAAATTTATGCATATAATCTGATATTGAAATTTAACAACATTCACACTTTGTTTAGTGCCAACATGGAATTCATGGACACCGTGGTTAGAATGTTCAAAAACATGTGGTAGCGGAATTTCGACCCGTTATAGATCATGTAAAAGAAATGGTAGTCCATCAAACTGCGTGGGGAAAAGCACAGAAGTGAGATATTGTAAATTAATGGATTGCGAATTAGGTGAGAATATTTCTGAATCGCTTGATTTCATTTCAATCAATTATCAGATATGTTGACATCCGATGTAATACATTAAAATTTATTTTTCAGTTTGAACTCTTGCGTTTACAGGTAACTCTAATCGATTGCATGAACTTGAGGGAAAAAACACTCCTGTTATGAATCTAACGCTTTTACTTTGGCGTGGTCATTGCGAAAATAGTGACCAATTCAGGACGTGACAATGATACAATTTGCTATTGAATTGCACAAGCTGTTGTATTTTCTGATATAAATTATTTCTCCCCTTTGTTGACCGAAAAGACCGCAACAAATCCTGCGATAATAGACGGCTTGAAAACTAAAATATCGAACTGGATGTCAATTTTTTTAGAACCAAAAGGGAATGCATGGGCACCATGGTCACAGTGTTCAAAAACCTGTGGTAGCGGATATTCGACGCGCGATAGATCGTGTGAAAAGACGGGTAGTCGGTCAAGTTGTGTTGGGTCTAGCACAGACGTGAGACGTTGTAAGTTGACGAATTGCGTACCAGGTGAGTTTTTTCAACTGTTTGATATGATTTTTTAGTCATGAATTAGACATGTTGATGCATTTTGAGTTCGGATGTCAATTATTATGATTAGTATTTGCGTATGCTTAGCACATTAATCTTGACGTGATAAAATGAGTAGGTTATATCAAAAATTATATGCAGTTTTAGGACTTTGAAAACTTAATATGTCAAATATTTTTAGTCGACCCAATGAAAGTTAGTTGTACTTTTACATAATAAGAATCAAATTGGAATAAATGGGAATCCTGGATGCAATGTTCTGTTACGTGTGGAAGAGGTATTCAAAGCGAATCAGAACATGTTCAGGATATGCATGCATGGGAAGAAGACAGGAAATTAAAACTTGTGACGAACAAAATTGTCCAGCAGGTATTTATTTTGGTTTCAAAAGTGTATTAGTAATCTGGATATAGTACCAGTATGATGTATAAATTATATAACAGACTATATATACATATTTTGTATGTAAATTATCACTGTAGTCTGTTATCACTCTCTAAACCTATGTTTTTACTCAGATCCAATATGGAATGCTTGGGAGTCATGGTCGCAATGTTCAGTAACTTGTGATAGTGGAGTCATGACACGAATTAGACTTTGTGATAGAAGCAATTCACTAACTAACTGTGCGGGGAAAAGTACGGAAGAAATATTTTGTGAACTAACAGAGTGCAAACAAGGTTGGTTTTGTGGTGTGTGATTAGAAATAAATACATTATTTTACACTAGTGCGGATTCTACCAATCTTACAGATAAGAGCTTCGACTGTACCGTCACAAATGAAAATTTTATTCCAACTTGGGTGATTCAAGCATACGAAACGAATATATTTAATCATCACTGTTATTATAGTTTTTGACACTAATGAAAATTTTATTCCAACTTGGGTTATTTAAGCATACGAAACGAATATATTTAATCATCACTGTTATTATAGTTTTTGACACTACACTGGTATAAAAACCATCAACATGCGGCTGCACGCTTTTACTTTGGCGTGGTCATTGCAAAAATTGTGACCAATTCAGGACGTGACAATGATACAATTTGCTATTGAATTGCACAAGCTGTTGTATTTTCTGATATAAATTATTTCCCCCCTTTGTTGACCGAAAAGACCGCAACAAATCCTGCGATAATAGACGGCTTGAAAACTAAAATATCGAACTGGATGTCAATTTTTTTAGAACCAAAAGGGAATGCATGGGCACCATGGTCACAGTGTTCAAAAACCTGTGGTAGCGGATATTCGACGCGCGATAGATCGTGTGAAAAGACGGGTAGTCGGTCAAGTTGTGTTGGGTCTAGCACAGACGTGAGACGTTGTAAGTTGACGAATTGCGTACCAGGTGAGTTTTTCAACTGTTTGATATGATTTTTTAGTCATGAATTAGACATGTTGATGCATTTTGAGTTCGGATGTCAATTATTATGATTAGTATTTGCGTATGCTTAGCACATTAATCTTGACGTGATAAAATGAGTAGGTTATATCAAAAATTATATGCAGTTTTAGGACTTTGAAAACTTAATATGTCAAATATTTTTAGTCGACCCAATGAAAGTTAGTTGTACTTTTACATAATAAGAATCAAATTGGAATAAATGGGAATCCTGGATGCAATGTTCTGTTACGTGTGGAAGAGGTATTCAAAAGCGAATCAGAACATGTTCAGGATATGCATGCATGGGAAGAAGACAGGAAATTAAAACTTGTGACGAACAAAATTGTCCAGCAGGTATTTATTTTGGTTTCGAAAGTGTATTAGTAATTTGGATATAGTACTAGTATGATGTATAAATTATATAACAGACTATATATACATATTTTGTATGTAAATTATCTATGTAGTCTGTTATCACTCTCTAAACACATGTTTTTACTCAGATCCAATATGGAATGCTTGGGAGTCATGGTCGCAATGTTCAGTAACTTGTGATAGTGGAGTCATGACACGAATTAGACTTTGTGATAGAAGCAATTCACTAACTAACTGTGCGGGGAAAAGTACGGAAGAAATATTTTGTGAACTAACAGAGTGCAAACAAGGTTGGTTTTGTGGTGTGTGATTAGAAATAAATACATTATTTTATACTAGTGCGGATTCTACCAATCTTACAGATAAGAGCTTCGACTGTACCGTCACAAATGAAAATTTTATTCCAACTTGGGTGATTCAAGCATACGAAACGAATATATTTAATCATCCCTGTTATTATAGTTTTTGACACTACACTGGTATAAAAACCATCAACATGCGGCCTTCATGTCCTCTACGAGTAGAGTTCTTTCGACAAAACGCTAAAGGAAAGAAATGAGAAAATATTGATAAATAAAGTATGTATTGTTCCATGTGCTGATCTTATTTAGAATCGTGGAGTGAATGGAGCACATGGACAAGATGTTATTCTGCTAAATGTGGAACCTTTGGATGGAGAGTTAGAAGGAGAAAATGCAATGCTGGCACTGTTATATCAGACCGATGTAAAGGGGAGCGAACGGATTTTGAAAAATGTTCTAAAGAATGTGACACAAGTTCTGGATAAATCTTATTATGTTTCTTTTTTAAAATTGATGCTACATTTATTTTTTAAATGTCATTTGTCCTGTATTCTAAATTTTAGCTAAAAATTGCGGTTCCAAAATTTATTTCAAACTCAACGCAGTCAAAATTATTCTCTTTATTAAATTTGGAACTGAGCAAGTAATAGACAATCATGGATCTCATTTTAGTGCATACATATACAAATTCGTTCGTTCTCCGATTGTAATAAAAACTTTCAATTTTTTTTTCAATGCAATTTTTTGACTTGAAAATGGAAATTTCTGTATTGCTTAGTAACCCCCTATATTAGGATTGTGTATGGTAACAAAACACGTAGAGTTCCAAATTCATTTCGCTAACTAACAGGTCACAGCACACGGCGGCCACGGGAACAACATTCTGTGATCGTTCATATCTTTCATCGTTCAGCTAAATTTAAATATAGAATTGATACGAAATTCTTTAATTTAGGAGAATGGAGTACATGGGAAAACTGGAATAAGTGCTCAGTTTCTTGTGGTGGCGGAATTCGTTCGCGAATTAGATCGTGTGAAACGCCAGGCAATTGCGTCGGACCCAACAAAGATAAGCAAGAATGTAACAAAGAAAGTTGCGAATCAGGTATTATTTATGATATTTTTATCTATTAACCTCCATCTATATCGAGTACAAGATATAAAATAGTTCGTGCTACGTGTTGATTATATCCTTAGTAAATAAACCCGCAATGCATTTTTGACTCAGACCCACAATGGAGTGACTGGGGTGAATGGTCTGAATGTTCTTTATCTTGTGGAAGTGGAGATAGAGTAAGAGAGCGAACTTGCATTGGAGGCGAATCTAGTACATGTGAAGGTGTTTCTACTGAACTCAATGAAGTGCAACGTCCAGAATGCAAGTCAGGGTTAGTTCATACTTTATAGTCTAATCTAGAAAGATGCCACTTGATACACTAATTCCAAAAGCTTGAATGTTTTTAGATTTGATGTGAAATACCAATTTGTATAAAATATTTTTCAATCTGGGAAGTGTTAAATTTTGATCGTGTATTAAGTGATATCAAATAGAAATGTGATAGTGTCTTTAGGATTACAAAACTTCAAATCGAATATTGATTAAAGTATGAGAAATGACTTATAACAAGTGTAAAGTTAACGCAATAAATTGCTATGATAAGCAGGGCTGAGAGCTGGTTCAAAATCATGATGGCTCCGGCGTCTCAGTGTATTCAAACTTTTGCTCCAGCTTGGGCTCCATAGCCATTATCGTACTCCACAAACGACATCGAGTGGTTGTGACTGAACAGCTGTTTGGTCACGTGTCTGGAAAATATTTTGTCTGGCTTCTGTATGATAAATATTTACGTCACACAAAGACGGCTTTCGATTTGCGCGTTATCGCGCCTATCATTTAGTCAGGGTGTGCAACCTTAATTACACGAGGGCAAGATACAAACAAGTAACCTAGGTGAAGCCGTGGGCCGCACCTAGAAACTCTACGAACTACCAAAGGCTCTGGATACGAAAAATTCAAATTACGAAAATTTTTATCGTAAAAATTTTGCTTCGACTAGCGTAGAATTTTCCTGGATCCTGGATACGCCCCGGGCATTAGGTTTTTTGATCTTGACCACAATCATGAAAAATTGTGGCATAGCAGAAAATAGAATCAAAATTGTGATATAAGCGACCGCTTCAAATTTATACTGAACTTTTAAACATATAATGATATAGAATAACTTGAAACTTTTGAATTAATATTAGAAACTAAAAGTTATAAAATGAATTAGAGCTGAAAAGGATAGATTTTATCATTTGTATCGACTATCAGAAAATTATAAATGTGAGAAAAAAATGAGATGGTTACGAGCTGGAGCCACTCAAATTTTTGGTAGCTCCGGCTCCAGCTCGGGCCTCAGCTCTGGAGCCACGGCTCCTTGGCTCCGACTCCAGCTCCGGCTCACCAGCCCTGGATATAAGTATCATTCAGGGATAAGATAAGAATGTGACTCAAGTTTTGAATAAATCATTATACAGCAACATACTGCGTTCGTTCATATCTTTCATCGTTCAGCTAAATTTAAATATAGAATTGATACGAAATACTTTAATTTAGAAGAATGGAGTACATGGGTGAAACTGGGTCAACATGCTCAGTTTCTTGTGGTGGCGGAAGTCGTTCGCGATTTAGATCGTGTGAAACTCCAGGCAAATGCGTCGGACCAAAGCAATGATAAGCAAGAATGTAACAAGAAAGTTGCGAAACCAGGTATTTCCAGTAACTTCCACTTACATACAGTACAAGATATAGATATAAACTTAGTTCGTACTACGTGTTTGATCCATTCCTTAGTAAATACACCCACAATGCATTTTTGACTTAGACTCACAATGGAGTGACTGGGGTGAATGGTCTGAATGTTCTTTATCTTGTGGAAGTGGAGATAGAGTAAGAGAGCGAACTTGCATTGGTTGAGGCAATCTAATACGTTGAAGGTGTTTTCTACTGACTCAATGAAGTGCAACATCCGAGAATGCAAGTCTGGTAAGTTTGTAGACTGATCTAAAAGATGCCATTGGTACACTAATTTTAAAATCTTGAATATTTTTTAGATTTGATGTATAAAGTACCAATATTTTTTAAACTGTTTTTCAACTTGGGGATGTGATACATCATGTTCATGTATTAAGTGATTTTAGTAGTGGCTTATCAATTATTCACATATATAAAAGATAATGTAATAAATTGATAAGAATCAATATTTTTATATAGAATATTTTTATTAGATGAATCCATACTGGTTGACGAAATTTGGTAGGTTTCTTACGCTCGCAGAAAATAAACTCATAATTTACATTGAAACGCTATTAAATTTAGAATGGGGAAATTGGGAGCAATGGTCCTCTCTGTTCTCTCTAGCTGCGATTATGGTACGAAACAAAGAAAACGTCTGTGTGATGGGAATAATGGAAGATGTAGGGGGTCACGAACTCAGAAAATTCGATGCCAAAATTATATCATGCAAGGCCTGGTAAATATCACGTTTACACTATTTAGAATTAGGAGGTGCAAACGCTTTTTGCAATAACAAATTTTTGATAGAAAGTTTATTGCTACTAATTTTACCAGGTAATGCAAAATATTTACGTGAAACTTGCTGCACACATTTCATGCATATATATATACATATATATATAGCTCGATTAGTTGAGTTCGATTTGGAAGAATGGGTTGTTATAAATGTTCACTCACTTTGTCAAAGAAAACGTACATGGAGTAGTCATTAATGTATGGAACTTTAATTACGTCACGACGGTGAAAATGTGAGAAGCACACTCTCGGAAATGTTGAGTTAGTGGACAAAATATTATTTTGGAATGAAAACACGAGTTATGTATGACTCCTTAACCGCCTGCACTAATTTGAATTGCTTTGTTCCATTACATTTGAACCCGTAATTTAAACCCACGACAACTGCACCTGCATACTGGGCTACTGGTGCACCTATGGAACCTTATATTTTTTTACGGATATTTGAACCCATACTAACCCTAACCCATGGATTTTATCACTCCCATATAGATTGAACCCCGGATATACAGTTAAAATGTATGGGTTCATATGTACGTGGGTTCCAATGTACGGTCGCCGAACTGCTTCATTATGAATTTGATATCTTTAGACATCGATTCATCATCGTGCAAAGAAATATTAGTTCTTCCGCATGGCAATGTGAAAAAGCATATAAGCAATACCGGAAAGATTAAGCTGAGTTTTCAATGCAGTAGCGGATTTGTTCTGCTTGGACCTATCGAAATTGCCTGCAAGAGGGACGGAAATTGGTCAAATCCTGCACCGTTTTGCATAGGTGCGATACATTTGTTAAGTTGTACTTTTGAAATGCACTTTGACGGTAAATTTCCCACTTAAATTTAAGCAATATTTTTTTTATAAAGCAACAAATTGTCCTAAATCAAGTACACCGGTGGAATTTGGGAGAAACTGTCATAAATCTTGTTCCAGTTGGTGGCATTGTAGCGGAATATCAGCGAACTGCCTCTGTGACGATGATTGCGGACGAACGTGCTTCAACCCAGGTCGCCATTTTTTTACTATCGTGGCTTCTGATTTTTTTGTTTAACAATAATATTATACAATTTTATAGAGTCGGTGATATGTAGCAAACCAACAGCACCTAAAAATGGAAACGTGCAATATGAGTCTCGTGGCTATGGTCATGTTGTTCAGTACAGCTGTAATCAAGGATACAGTTTAGGCGGTAGCCAAAGAAGGCGTTGTCGATCAGATGGAAAGTGGTCTGGATTACCCCAAAATGCACGGGTAAGCATTAACACGTCAAACAAGTCAAATAGCTATGATTTCGAAAGATCTCATAACACACCCACTCACTATTTGCGCCACTTTTGAATTGCACTGTGTTAATAACTAATAACACTGACCATGTTTCTGGCTGTAGAAGTAAATCCAAAAACCGAGAAGATCTTGGAGTTCAAAAATGTGGGCAAGCAGGAAATGTCGGAAACATATTCAATGACGCTCCCGGGGATCAAGAGTTTTGGCCGGAACCAATGCTAACACAGGTGCCTGGCCGTGGCAAGCAATGATCACAGCGAATATGAAAAATGATGTTAAGGAGGTGATTTCAAGTAATGCTTTGACTTGTGTCTCCGACAGTTGTGATAATGTTTCAAACAAAAAATATTTTGTAATATTCCTGAATTCCCTCACGGCATACTGAAAAACGGTAAATTATAATTGTTTGGTAGATTTCATGTGTCTGCAAGAAATGAGACGCCGAATAGAATCGTAAACATCTATGTTAGATCTTGTTTAATTTATAATAGATACTGCCTATCACATTCTCGTTGCATACCTGATGAAGATTTTCAACTTATTTGAACGTTACCTATGTAATATTTATCACCAAACGGTCCTAAATGACTGTTGTTACTGATAATGATTGCACTAAACAGTTTGTAACCATTGTAACAGTATTTTCACTACGAAAAAATTAACATTAACAACTCATTCGGGCACACAGTGGCTATATGGTTCTTTTATGGATTTCCGTGCTCTTTTAAAAATATATAGTATCTTCCATCTTGAAAATTGAGAAATGCGGGTTAAATATTAATTTAAGAAAGTTTATTTATGTATATTAGAGTCTTGTACATCTCAAAGGGGGCGGATCAATATTGAACGACAAATGGATTTTAACTGCTGCTCACATATTTGATCGTGTTATTTTAAAGAGATTAACAGATGCCAAAGATTATCTTCTATTGGTTGGTAAGATTAGATGCCTCCCTATTTTCAGCGATGAAATATGAGACTTTTTTCCCAAATAATATTCACTCATATGTGTATATTTCTGGTGGTGATAATGCTCGGAACAACGAAATGTTGGAAAAATCTCGAAATATATATTATATAAGTAAATCGAAAATGAAATACCTTTGCATAAAGTTGTTAAAAGTTTCCTAAAATAAATAGCAAATTGATAAATGAGCAAAATATGGCTGTACTTCGTCTTCATGCCAAACAATGAAACATTTTTGATCAGTTGCATAAGGTTTTACTGAGCCACTAACTGATGATCATATAAATAAGTTTCAAAGATTCAATTATAAACTTTCATATTTACAGGAGTCACATCATTGCGCGACATAAATAAGATAACAGAACATGGGCGCTTGTATGAACCAGGACTGTTGCAAATTCATCCAGAGTATGATCGATATACCAAGGATTTTGATTACGATGTTGCTTTGGTACATTCAAATATTATATACATCTGTGTAAAAAAGCGTTGAAACGTTTTTCCATTGTTTTCTCTTTCTCTAGTTCCCAAAATACAGTAGTATCAGGCACGAGGACTTATAATCCGACGCACCGTGTTTCCCGGAAAATAAGACAAGGTCTTCTTTCAATTTTCTCTCAAAAAATAACACTAGGGCTTATTTTGAGAGGATGTCTTTTATTTCCATTTATCAAAAACAGAATTTAACGAGTTGAGAATTACGAGATTTTCAAATATACAAAATATGAAAACTGATATCTATTTACTTATAAATAACACGTTTTTATTTAAAGGGAGAGCTTATATAATAATCATTTTTAAAATTCAGACTAGGTCTTATTTTCGGGGAAACACGGCATATGTGTACGACACTTGCATCCGAATACTTTTTCATGTCGTCAAGCTTCCACAAACTCACTGAAGTTTTGCTATTCCTCATTTTAATATCTAAACCATTCAAACAACTTATAATTTTCTATTTAATATTTGATTCGTTCAGGTTAAAGTTGGAAAGCCATACAAAGTCGTGAATGGGAAATTAGTGTTTGACAGCTCTGCGCCCGTCGGAAAGATTACGTTTTCATTATACATAAAACCCGTCTGTCTACCGTGTTTGAAAAATGCTGCAGATTTCTCGATCCCTGATACATTCAAGAGTATGCACTGCGCGACTGCATGTAGGTTTATATAGAAAAACAAAAACAAAATACGGAATATGAATACTCCATGCTCCATACATATGTGTTTCATTGTAATTCCATAAGAAAACCTGCAAAACTGAATATCACGTAATTTTTTTCTCAGCTGAATCATCAGATCCGGTCCGAATTGCCAGTTTGTGAACGGGATTCGGCCAAATTAGACAACAAAATCGTCTTTTTTTCCAGGCAGGCAGGTGTGCTTTCAACAAGGAAGCTGAGAATTTGCCCTGATGACCAAAAAGTAAGGCATATAAATGAGGCTAGTGCGTCTATATCTATACGGTTTCTATACCGGTAAACCAGGTTTTTGAATTTAAAAATTAATCTGATAAATTTCGTTATGAGCGCATAAACGTCTCGTCTAAAATCTTCTCATAAAAGAACCTATGTTACTAGGAACACGTTTAAGAGTATCAAACGTTTTGTTTTACGTTCATTAATAACGATGTGACCACTAGGGCATAGAGATTGGCATTGGAAAATAAACAAACGTTCCTGATACTACAGATGGCACAAGCAATGATAATTTTGCTCAACGGATGTCGTTGCACGCCCTCTTATCGAGGTTTCTTTATTTACTGCTACAATTTCTGCCTCAAGTTCACTAGTTATTTGATGATTGTCCCGATACACAATGTTCGGTGCGCTGCGCTGTAGCCGAACGACATAGCTCGACAATAGCTATGCTCTGACATAAAGTTATTTCTCGAACTAGTCAAAGAGCGGTTCGAAGATTAATTCACAAATTCAATGTGTAGAAGTTCCCCACCATGATCCATCCCTATGATGAAATTATGATCCACATTTCATCTTATCCGCTTCATAAAGTACAGAGTTAAATTACCACCAACTGATCACCAAAGTACAAGATATCCGTCTGAAATAAAACACGTTATTATTATTTAAAACTTTCACTAACCACAAATGTTCAATGGAACGTTATAACCTATTCTTTGTCTGCCGGTGCGCGTATACCGTGTTTCTCCACTAGGGCTTATTTTCGGGGAATGTCATTCATTTTCATTTATCGAAAACAAAATTACAAATTAGGAAATTAAGAGATTTTCAAATGAACTAAATCTGAAAACTAATATTCATTTACTCATAAATAACACGTTTTTATACAAAATAACTGTACAACATAGGTTATATCAATCATTTAAAACGTGTATGAGGGATTTCTCGCTATCGACCAGGTAAAAAAAATTCACGTTATTGACTAGGTCTTATTTTAAAGGGAGGGCTTATATTAAAATCATTTTTTAAAAATCAGGCTGGGTCTTATTTTCAGGTTAGGTCTTAATTTCGGGAAACACGGTAGTACTTCATAAATGTATAACGGGTACCACCAATCTATGATGTCATAATACTCCACAGTAGCTCATCGTGGATAACATGAGAAATGTGATGGTTGAAAATCTCTCTTCAGTCCCACTTAGTTGGCGGGGTACATTCGAACACACCCTGGTACACAATGGGGCGTTCTAGTAATTTAACAAAAAATGCCATCCATTACAAATAAGTAACGAGTCAGCATCACAAATCTAATGAACTGTGGGACTTCAAATTTGGAGATTTTGTGTAACTTTGAAATTAATGTTCAGCTGAAATATTTCGGATCCGTTTCAAAAAATTATTTAAACAAATTTTACGTATTGGCAACACAAAACCACGTTGTAGACATGCGTATTCAAAAAGTCATTACATAATTACTAGGAGAATATTTTAAATACTTATGAGTAAATTTTTGAAAATTTTTTTTTTTCAAATTTGCCTAATTTTAATTGAAAACGAGTTCTGTAACTTTCATTCTTGGCAATGACAGTTCTTTGTTAAAAAAGCCATAAACATCAAATACGATTTGTTTTTCAATTACTGAAATGTTCACTGTGTTCAATAAAACAACAAAATCCACATTTACATATCAACAAGTAAAATGTCCAATTTCGGCCAAAAGCAAACAATTTACTCTTTTGAATACCTTTTAAATAAATATTTTTGAATCCAGAATATATTCCGAATTGTGCCATGGTCCGAAAGAAAACCTAATAGAATACAAAACATAACAAATTTCTAGGTCTCTTAGAACTCCATGAATGAAACACTGTCGAATTGTGCGCAGTGGAGCACGTCCCAATGAACCTCGGTTCATTGTTCCCCATGTGCATCCAACATTTTCAGACGGCTCCATGTCAAGATTAGGAAGGTACTCTTGCCAAACGTTGTGAATATTTTACAGTGGACTAACCTAAAATATGCCAGACAGTCGTTTGTCCTGTTGGAAAACGTGAAGTAGAATAAGAGAAGACGGAGATGGAAAAATTTTAGTTTCAACCCTCTAAAACCCAAGTCATCTCATATCTTGCGTCACTCTGCACGGTCTGTACCACTGTCCGTTTGAGGGGACGTCGTAACTAACCGAAAGGCGGAATCAAACTTCGATATTGAGTACATATGACATTGGTTGTATATGTACATTTATAAAATGGATTCATATGTATATTAAATTGGTAGTATATGCATATGATATTGTATGTATGGCATCGCTTAAATGCCTTCATGAGTACATAAAGTTGACCATACATACGTATGATATTGGCTGATTGTGTATATTACTTAAGTGGCTGTATGAGAATATTGCGTAGGTGTAAGTACATTACTCAATTGGTCGTATATGTATATTAATTTGGCTGTATATTTGCATATGATAATGACTTTTGTATGTGCATCACTTTCACATGTCTTTATTTGTATATTGAGTGACTACGTATAATGGAATTTGTTGTGTACATTACTTGAATGCCTGTATATGTATTTTGGTTGTATATACATAAGCTGTGTATGTACATCATCAAAATGGCTGTATTTGTACAATAATTGGCTGTATATGTATATCACGTCACTCTATTCTTTTGGCGATATATCACTTTACATAATAATACGTATTGTAATGTTATTGTAATGATTTAAAATGATTATAATCAAAGATATACTAACATGCAGGTGCAATCAGTCAGCCAAAGAAATAAGAAATATGTTAAAAGGTGCACGTTTCACTCCTAGAATGATTTGTACCGTGAGCGGTCGGAACGATGCCGTGGTGGATGCATGTCAAGGTGATAGTGGAGGACCGCTGGTTAGAAAGGTAATGATGATGATAACTCACTGCTTCCATTCTACTGCATCTCTCCTTGTTGTTGCTGTGCTAAAATTAGGATCTATTTTGGACCATTTCCTTCTACTGATAAATAAATTTTACTACTGTCAAGTATCAATGAAAAAAGTAGGCCTACTGCGTCGCAGACTATAAATAATTATTATCGTTATCAATAATCATACAACAAATAAACCGGTATATTTTACTATATGAAATTCCAGTCAAGCGTCAAAATCTTCATTCAATCAAGTCTTAACAACTTTAAATTGGTATTTTAGATAGCTACAGCACAGGGTACTGAGTTCTGGGTGCAAGAAGGAATTGTAAGCTGGGGTTACGGTTGTGCGACCATTGATGTTAACGGCAATGAATATCCTGGATACTTCATCAATGTTTCGTCAATAATCAGCTTCATACAGGAATCACTAGAAAGCGATGACACCTAAAATTCCCTCGTTGTATTATAAAAGTTCCCTTTTTAGTCAAAACTTCCTAATAAACATCAAAGCTTCATTCCAACTCAAAATACTGGAGGCGTATGTTGCATAATGAAGAGATCTTAAATCACGCTCGAAGGGAAAAAAGCTTGGATAAATTGGGAAGATTGCATAAGCATTCATAATCAACTGTATTTTTCGATGAACAATTAAGAATGTGTTTTCATACAGTTCCAAAATAAATGTATGACAAGGTGTTCAAACATCAGTTGCTAGATTTTTCCTTCTACTCTGCTGCTCGGGTTCAGATTATAAATATTGGGCTGCAATTTACTCTCTGTAATCAGAGGGCTAGAGTAATAGTATTTTAGGAAGCAAAAATTAATATGTGGTGACCTATGTGACGCTATTTACTACAAATATCAGAGGATTTTAAAAGAGAAAACAATAGAAAAAGATAACAGTAAATAACGTGTATCGACGCATTTCAAAACTGCGAAGTGGGCTTCTTCGGCCATGTCGCCGTTGCCTCCATCGTATATTTTAAACGAAAGAGAATATATTTTCGTGCGAGTAGTGTTATTTTGTTACCATGACCTATCTTATTTTATACGAAAAAATGCAAACGGGAAATGGTGGAAAAATTGTACTACTGAAAGTGCTTTGAAAAAACGAATATTTCTGAACAAAGTCCAATATATAGGCTACCTATAGGTTTTTTGTTTTTCAATTGAACGTCTGTCTGGTTCGTAAAGCAGCAACAAGGTCTGTCGATTAATCGACCTTGTTATTCTTAATGCAGCTCGATTTCCAATGTAGCGAGAAATTCTAAATGAAATGCATCTAAACCACAATTTTAGAGATTTGACTTGAAATCAGTAAAGCTCATAACTCATGATGCGTCAATGAAAGTTGGTTCTTTTTTCGTGTCTATCTATATTTTTTCCGCTGGCATGGGATAGACTTATAAAATGCGTGGCAACCGTATTCAACATTATACTTACAATTTCGCGGAATATTGCATGTCATCCTCTAATTCACCATGTCTAGTCACTCAATAGACGTGTTATAGATTACTTTGTTGAACCCTTCAACGAGCCAGCAAAAACTAGCTTTAGGACGACTCCATGTTTTGGGCTTATTTGCCCGGAGCTGGAGCTTCCTGCCATGCCATGTTGGCAACTTTTTCTCTATATAACAAAAACGCTTGGGTATACTTTTGCGGGGCGGGTCCTCACTCCCACCAGAACATTAAAAAAAACTCCCACTTCGATTCCCGAGGTCAACAAGAAAAAAAATCGAAATTCCTTGCGAATTGCTTCAGCACCGACGCTCGGCTGCACATCATTCCAACATCTAATCCAATGTTTAGTCCTGTCGTGTATTTAAGATTAAAAGTAAAACAACTCGATTGAGCATGATTTTCGATTGCTTAAATATTTTGTGAAATGAGTAAGTCACCGTAGGGGATTTATTCAAATTCCGGGTATTACTTTTATTAGATAATTATGCGCCATAGGCTGGAAAATTCAATATTGTTCTCACATGAGTAAGTCGATTGTTCGCAAAGAAAAAATGAAACTGGAACCGTCGTTTTAATAATTCATTTACCATGCAAGCCTGCTCAGAGAAATGCTGTGAGCACACATCTGAAAGATTGTAGATGGATAAACCACGGACGACGCATATACCTGTATTGTTGCGATTGTTATAGGCATACTTATTGTTGAAAACGTTAGTAAAACACATTCATCTTCAAACCTATAGAATGATTTTAAATAGACAAAGGTATTGTGGCTCAATGATTCGTGGCTTATGATGTTCTAAAAGTTGGCTAAAAATAATCAAGATTTGATGTGTCATTTTTTCCTTTCCAATAACATTGTCAGACATACATTTTCTTATGTATGTTAACAAATGTCGTAAAAAAGTCAAATCATCGCTACAAAAATAGCTAGTTGACGTACCAAGCTAGTTCACACTTTCAATCTTCCATGCGTCATGAAAAACAAAGACAGGGCAGGGAACTTCCCAATCGTGGTCTAACTTATTGCTTTGATCGCTCCATAAAGATAATCATAAATTTAGAGAGATGAGTCTGTATGATAGAATAAACATGATAATGAAAATATAAATAAATTATCTTGGGTGATAAATAATGTGTATTACCAACAACATTGCTAAACCTCCCTAGAACGCAGTTTCATTATTTTATTCCAATGTTTGATTTCAGCAGTGATATCTAACTAGGTCCGATTCGGAAATCTGTATTAAGAAATATATTGAGTCGACTTTTCGCACGAAATAGCCGGAACAAAAAAAATACCAAACCAGTTCTGTAAAACCACCAACGAACTGTTTTTTTCGTAAACGATAAATCATTAGAAGTCATTTTTACGTTCATCACTCTATACAGCCAATATTACAATATAAAATAGTTCTAACTGTCGTTGTGCTGTACGACGATCATAACTCTTAGCTTGATATTTGTAAATATTTAATTATTTATATAAGATTTTATCAAAGTTGACAAAGCATATGTTTTCCGGAAACATTCAGTTGTTAAAACCCTTTCTTATTAGACAAGGATTAGAATTGGGTAACAGGTATTTGCTAGTTTATACAGTCAGATGATTTTGCTTTTCTAAAAAGCTATATACCTGTATGGCTATTGGTCAAGAGAAATCCTTAGGTCAATTCAAAACGTTTGTAAGATAGATTTATATAAAAAAAAAAATAAGTTTTATTTTCAATGTAGGCTAGCCAGAACCAGTAGGACTATTCTAGAAGAAAGTTTGTTAATTTTTGTTATATATATATTTCATCTGTGATACTTACGACTCGTATTTCTGTAAAAAAACTACAAAAGCTAGTTCGATATGAGTGTTTAACAAAAATTTTGAGTTATACTTTTATTGAAAATGTCAGCGGTATCGGTGATGTTTTTATTACGAATTACGAAATTGTTGACACATTACTAGATTTTAATGTTTGATTTTATTTTGGAATGAGAAAACATTGGAAATGAATGATGTGAACGACAAACCCACATGGAATTCTAGAATCATTATTTTGGTGTAATGAAAGGGCTAATTGATATAACATCAAATACTGATTGAGCATAAAAATATTTATTTGAGTGTCGAAGGTGTTAAATTATAAGAATTTATAAGTAAATAATTTCCACATTTACATATTAGCTAGTCTAAGTGACAAGAGTAAAATTATCCACCATTTTGAATTTTTGTATACGCTCATTGTTAACGTTCATTTCTATTTTAGAAGACTCTATAATTCTATTTTGATAACACAGAGAGAAATGGCATCAATATAAACTAAATGGGCGAATATTTAAATTTTAATATCTATGAAAGCCCCAATTAATTATTTTTTATTTTTTCATAACGACATCTTTTATATTACAAATTATTAACAACTTATTTTGCAATGATAAAATTAATTTAATTTTTAGAATTCATAACTGAGAATATGTTTAAAAGTCACTATTGTGAAAAGTGTTGTATAACCCGTGACAAACTACATAAATTAAACTTTATTCTCAGATGTTTTATAATGAAACAGAAAGTAAAAACATTTATTTCGTTTTTGTCGGTGGAGAGAACCGTGATTTATATCACGTATAATTGAATCAATGTAAATAATTACTTCTAATTTAAAGCTATACAACGTTTTATGTCGGCAACACTAAAGATGAAATTTGTCACATAGGCTATTTTGGAAATCTACAAAAGTTTTTTACAAAAATAAGTACCAACAACATAGTGGTGTTCATGGCCAAACATTGATCAAAACAACCTTCTGAGTTTTTTGATGAATTCATAGTTGCGGCATGTTAATAACAGTCTATTGGCCATTAGCGTAAATTTGGTATATCGCCATATATAATAATACAAGCAAGAAATGAACAAATGAAACAGATGCTTCAAAAAGCGCAATCTGCTAGCGCATAATAGAAAGTTCGAAAATCAGATTGGTGAAATGTGACGAAACACTTTGTTAATGTATATGTACGTCATGGGATTAAAACGTAAATATTTAAAGTCTAAACTTAATAAGCGCGCATCGTACTGCATGGTGACTTTTAGTTCCTGGCATTTTATACCGCAGTCTACTTTAGATCACAGATATCGTTAAATAAAAATTTGCGATAACATCAGACACGACATTATGAGAACGATGTTGCATTCAAAAACTTCATTTTGACACCAGACCTGTTACTTAATAAATAAAATGTTTTCGTATCTCCAGCATTGACAAGCATCCAATTTTAGAATTATCTCTTTAACTGAATGTAAAAAATCATAAGCTATGTTTTAGTTGCGGGTGTGGGAGGGTGTTCCTAAGGTTTTCAAGTATTTTATAAATGTGTCTCTAAAAAAATCTTGTTGTTACTCTCAATATAGTTTTTTTTCTTCTTGTTAATTTAAATTTGTATGCATAAATACCAGACTAATGTTATTTAAAATTAAGCCTTTTTTGAGTTTAGGTCAAGGAAAGATGCTTTGATCGCATTGCGAGTAACATCCGGAGAGAATAAATGAACGCCTCTGTCTAAGGAACCAGAAAGATTGTATATTCATTCGTACGTCTTTTAAAAAAAATAAAAAAAATAAAACAGAATAAAGTTTAGAATTTTTCGTTCGTAACCGAAATATTTTGGTGGTTGCAAAATCAGTTGTTATTCCTAAAATACGTGGGAACTTGCACAATATGATCCTTATAAAATGCTGATGATTTGCTCCGAGTTATTAGTTGTGAAATTCTATCTGATCAGAATTTTTTAGCAGATATTTCGCAAGATTTGAAACGCTGAGTAGTTACTTGTTGGTGGAAACCGTTAGGAACTTCTAACTTTGATACTCCAGAAACGATTACGAAATGCAATAATGCTATTAATAGCCAAAATATTAATAAAAATGTATATAGTTTCCGAAGAAATTATAACTGATACAGCATTAGCATATCCATAACGCGAATGATCGAATTATGAAACAGGTTTTAGTCAGTCGTAAATGTCGTAATATTTTACACCCTATTTTAACTACATGAGGTTCTACAGTATAATTCTGTTTTTGATGCCATTGTAAAAATATTTTGTTCTGTGTAATAGGTTGATGTTATATGATTTGCATATAGATAATGAATGACCTTATTAAAACTAATATTCTGGACAAATGTTGTATTATTTTTACTAAAAAATAATGATGCTAACCATAATATTAAATGACACCAGAATAAAATTGGTTGTTGCGCGTGCCATTTTTAATTCCTCTTAGAAATGGCGCGCAAATGGCGAGAATACAAAATGAACTCGATTTAACACCGACACGTTATAATTTAAGTACAATTATGGTCGGCTCTACTGCATTTAATTCCACGACAATTTAAATCATAGTGTGCGCGAATCAGTACATTAGAAAATAGTTATATTGTCCGGATTAAAATTTTAATTCCAAGTTCCTGTAATGCTGGCTCGTCAATCATACGCCAGAAATGTTCAGATGTATTTTTAACTCGCCAAATGCGACATTCTGACGTTTATGTAAAAATTTACTTTCGTGCACGGTTACTTCACTTTAACGGAATTGCATTTCTGGGAAACTTTGCACCGTTTCCGAAGCAAGTTGAATGAAGAATAGTTTAGCAACATGAAGATTCACGCTTCGATACTTTTCATTTTGCTGCTTAATCTTCAAAATGTGTGCAGTTCAGGTAATTTATAAGATAAAATAGTTTTTGTGAACAAATTTAAAAAGAGATAATTTAATTTTAAACATAGAAAATTTTTTCTTCAATGTCCCATGTTTCCTATTCATAGTAATAAAATTCTATAATTGTGCCTCATATTTAACCATCTTCGACAGTATAATGGAAATCATTTAGTCATGGTAATGCGGGTATTATGGTATATTATTATTCTTGAAATATTATTGATATTCACATGCAATATTTTATTGACAAATTTTATTTCAAATAAAATCTGCTGTGAAAATGAAGCTGAAAAATTAACGTAGCCGACCATGGCAGAATTTGAATTCAAGGTTTTTATAATTGATGTTTATAGGGCTGAACTCAACTCTGAACTATAAAGGATATACTTACACTGTGTTTGAGTCTGTTGTGTATCAAAGTGAAGCAAGTGAAATATGCAGAAAACATGGCGGAACTCTAGCAACCATAAAGAGTGAGGATGTGCAAAATGCAATCCGTGTAACTGTAGATAACTTGATGGTGTTATCAGAACAGTACGGGCAATGGACTCCTTTATGGATAGGACTTAGTAAGAATTCAAGTCAGCCGTGGTATTGGGAGCACGATATATATGGCCGTCAGGAACTTGGATATGAATTTTGGATGACGTCAGTGAATGCGTCGATTTTAGAAGAGTTTTACAACTGTGCTGTATTCATACATTACCATGGAAATGAAAATTCAAGATGGAGTCCAGCACCTTGTTTTGGAGATCGTGCAGGATTCATTTGTCAAAAGGGTAGGACTGTTTTGCTGAATTAGCTTTTGAGTTAAAATTTCATTTATCGGATTTTACAATTTTCAGTTTCTTACGCAACAACTGTAACTATTGGAGATTATCAATATGGAATATTCGACACGTATGTTGCCAAGTCCACAGCTAAAAAACTATGCCAGCTGCGAAATGGCAAACTTGCTATAATACGGACTAAATTATTGTGGTATTCTATAGTCGCTACTATTGAGGCTTATCTCTTGAGAAAAGATCGTCTTGGAGAATCGTCTTCATATTGGTTGGATTTTAGAACATCGGATAACCATTCTTGGACTTGGCGTGATGAGATTAATGTAAGATCGTCAATAAAAGAGCTTATGGTGACAAATGAAACAAATCAAACTGATTCCAGATGTGGAATTCTTATTTATCAGAATATGAAAGGATTGTGGAAACCAGCAAAATGTGGCCATACAAAATCCGGGGTTGTTTGTCAGAAAAGTAAATATGAATAGCTTTTATGTGATACATTGATATTGTATGACTTGCGGTAACCATGTTCATACTTTCTACAGATATCAATGTCTGTTCATCTCCAAGATGCTCCAATATCACTTGTTTCAGCAATACAAAAGAAGAGTGCAGTTGTTTTCAAGATAACAAAAGTTCTATAAAAAAAATCAGTAAGTCGAAAAAAAAAGTCAAATACTGAATAATACGAAAAGAACATACATATCATCTCCCTTCAGATCACATCTGCAACATTGAACTTTTAAAATCAAAATTCAACGTTTTGAACTTGGAGAAAAAAGCAATTGTTGGAAATACTATTGCGGAGAATACGTCAATCGTTTTAGCATGTCTCAAACAGGGTGAAATATATATGGGAAGAAATCAACTAAGTTGTATAAGTGATGAAAACTGGTCATCCATGCGTTTGGGATATTGTGGTGAATATTCAATTGATATACATCTTTTGTTTTATTTTGGATTTATTCAATGAAAAGTTGACTGACGACCAATTTCTACTTGTCTACAGAAAAACCTGTGCGATGTCACCATTTGTCTCCAATAAATAACGGAGATATAACTATCATCGGAAATCCACGGCATATTTTCCACGTCGGAAGCTTGGCCAAGATTAATTGCGACAGAGGATACTTAAGAAAAGGAAAGGAAAAAATTGAATGTACTGATAATGGGGCTTGGTCCGCACCAGTTCCCTACTGTGCAGGTGGGAACCAAAACTCTAAAAGTATATGAACTATTTGACAATGTATACTGGTTTCACATACAAGATTGGTGACTAACAAAATCTAAAGCGAAAGAAGTTTTATTATTTGCTTGTTATTCAATGTATGACTCAGCGTTCGTGTCATCGTATCACTGAAAGCTTTAATTTTATTTCGAAACAAAAATAGATTTCGGCAAGATATGAGACGGATTTACCCGTTGATGAAAATAATTGTTTACGTCAATGAAATGTCTGCTATATTTACCTAATACTGTTGACAATTGGAGCTCAAGAATTAGTTTTCAAATGACAATGCATTAGGATTTGTCTGTTTTAGCAACAGTGAATTAGTTGTCACGTTTACATCTACTTAACGACAAGTGAATAGATTACGCAAACACCGAAGTTGCATAAATTCTTATGTAATCAGATTTCCTGTCCTATTGCCATTTTGTCATTAAATAGATCATTCATTATCAGAATCACGAGTGAGGTCGTTCGCTACCACAACTTAACGAGAAGAAAAACTTTATTTCGTTGACATAAAAATATATTAGATACAGTGTGTTTTATGCAACTAAATTTCCTGTTTTATGCTGACATTTTTGCGGTGCATGCCCATTTTTAGCACTATTTAAAAATATATTTCACACATTCTGATCAGCCATGAATTGTGATCATATATTTCCAAAAACATATGATTTCTGTGTTCATTTCAATATTTAATTACTAAGTTACTTTCACGTGCATTCACGCACCAGTCACTGTAGACGCATCATGACCACCGCCAGGTTTATCAGGAACACCAAAACATATTTTATCATAAATAGTATACACGTTTAAACAAGTTATCTAAAACTTCTCGCTAATTGTTCTCAGAGTTTCAGCAGTGCATCATTAAATATGCAGGTCATGGCTTCTATATGAAATGCTTTAGCTTGTAAGCTTCGACTCGGAATCGCTGAAATGTAAGATTTCAAAATAAAATTGGTAAAAATTGACCATCTTTATTGGTTAATTTATTTATAAATGAATGTTTATAAATTTATGTAATGAATAAATGTTTGTGGTGGCGCAGTAGCCCAGCGGTTAAAGTTGTCTGCATCGCAGATTACTCATCTTGGGTTTCATTAGTCGATGTCATTTTTTTTTTCAGCAATAACTTGCTCAAAAGATTCATCAAAAGTGAATCCTGGTCGACGTTGTAACAAACCTTGCGAAAGTCAGACAGACTGCAGCAAGCCCGAGGAGAAATGTTTATGTGATGACTGGTGTGGAAAAACTTGTTTCAATCCCAGTGAGTTGAATAATTCAAATCGCTACATAAGAATAATTCCCTTCGATAAATATATAATATAATATAAAGATGTCTGTAGGTGGTTTTTATTCAAGATTACGTTCCAGATAAGTAGTGTAATGAAAAAATGAAAGAAGAAGTTTTATAACGAAGCCATTTTGAATCTAAAAATAGAAGTCGGCCCGAAACTGAACCTTCTTGGAGTCACGTAATGGAATTAGGGTCCTATGTTGCAAATACCCAATTGAATAAATATCGATGAACACCTTTGACGCATGATTGTTTATTATACAAAAATGATGGCTTGCAAATATGGTATAAAAAGATTTCCGTTCCAGTCGATTTTTTATCCATGATTCCAATGGAACTATTTTTTTAACTAAACTCACATCACACGACGTTGGAGAAATCTTCGTGAAGACACAAATCTGAAGGGTTAAACTTATGGTCTACAATTTAGATTTAATCTGCGAAGATCTCGTGGATCCTCATCACGGATATATACTTGGAACGCAGAGGAATTACATGGCAACAGTAATGTACAGTTGTCACGGTGGATATTTACTTAGTGGAACGAGTCATCGTCGTTGTCGATCGGACGGTAAATGGACTGATATTGCTCCAAAGTGCCTGCGTGAGTTGATCATATTTTAGAAATAATCTTTCCTCAAAACTTCAAAGAGTGGTACAAATTTTCTGCTACTGATGTATACGTAATAGTATATTGTGACTATATGTAATTTATACATAATTGAGAAGTTCAGTATCAGTTGTTGTAATACTGTAAGTCATTTTTGAATCAATGTTTGAAGTAAATTACGACAAAAACCTTTGTGACAATATTCAATTATAGAGTAAATGGTGTTTTATACTCACTTTATCAAAAATTCCCATTATCTGAAAATATGTACATGAAATAAACCACGCAGATTGCGAATATAAACGGCGCTCCAGGAGTGTGTGTACCAATATTGAGGTAACTAATTTTTTTCGCCTATACTTTACATCAAGTTGTGTAAAGGGACTGAAGCCTATAGGCAGGGGGTATATTTACTCGGCTAGCTAACACAGACAGTCCCCGAACTGAATAATAGAACTGATTAAGGGAAATCGGAATAAAATTATGGCCTAACCCCAACCAGGTACACACCACATACGGGAGTACGTGAGTAAATAGATCATGTCTGTTTACGTTTACAGCCTATAATTCCTGCGGCCAACCTGGTTTTCTAGGAAACACTATTCTTCCTGAACCAGTCGCAAAAGTTGTTCGAGGACAAGCTGCCCCGCATGGTGCATGGCCATGGCAGGTTATGTTAATTCACAACAACAGAAACAAAGTTCGCGAGGTAAAGAGTTCCTAAATTTTGAACACAAATATCAAAAAAATCCACACAACTTAGCTACGGTGTACAATAACCCATGTGGTAAAATTAAACGGAAATGAAAAAAAGGTGTTTGTGGTAATTTAGGGTGTGATATGTTTTCTTACGTTTTGTTATATTTTTTTTTTCGTTTTACTGTTCTTCATCATTTAAAATACGGTGGCTATGTCGTTATGTAACGTCTATGCCTTTCCATGGTCTGCAGCGTTATACCTAAAATTACATCCTACGACAGTTTGTATTAATAACAGACTGACGCAACAGTGCTTGATTATATGTAACTGAAGTAGCAAAAAATATAGGTTTTGCAGAAGGCTATCATTGACAAGTATGTAAAATACAGTGAAGGTCGTGGTGGTTTTATATCGAGCAATTTAAATGCTCGCTATACCTAATTGACTTATTTTCTAAAAATAATACAGCGCCTTAAGAGTTTTCCTAATTAAAAAGCTACAACTCTATAATTACACTCACTTCATTGTACCAATTGGCTGCAGAAAAATTGACACAAAGCGTAAATGGCAATCGGAATTTTATTAATATTTTTAATTCATCCGACATTTTATGTATGGTACAAAGCATTCTTTCCATTTTGTTTAACGAAGGTTTGCAATTAGCCACCTAAAAATAACAGCATTGAAATTTCAGAACATAAAACATCTTGAGTTATATATATGCTAAATTGCAGATTTATAGAATTGTTTGCAAAATTACACTTTTCTTTGACTTTGCTATATTGCCTACTTATAACATTATTTTCGATTCATCTGTCATCATACTTAACAAGAAGTTATTAAAATATTCCATGTGAAACAGAGTTTAGAAGCATTGCTCGGAGGTGCTACAATTATAAATGAAAATTGGATATTGACTTCAGCTCATTTATTTGACGGATTCATGTCTAATGAACCTTCAAATTGGTTGCACAGAGTTTTGATAGTTGTTGGTGAGTTCGTCTATCCATTCATACAAATCTAAAATTCATTAAATATTTGCTTTCTCACGCGCTACAATAAAACTTATGTAACCATATATATAGGCCAGGGAGTTTTTTCAGGCCGTGTTAAGACTTACGTTGCAAATTAGCAATTACAAAATTTGCTTCAAACATGATCTTGGGACACCAGGTATGTAAATCAGATTATTCACAAATGATAAACGCCATTTATTTCGTCAAATTATTTTAACAAGTGTCGGTCACTTGGATAAGATTTTCTCCCAGTCTGGGTTACTGATTACTTCTTACCGCGATATACTTATGCGTTAAGTTTGTTCGTGACTGACAAATTACGAAAAAGTATTAATCCAACATAATCTAAGCATGGATTATCGAACTATTAAACTTAATTCAATTTAAGGGATTACGGAGCTTCCCGAATAGACGATCCTTTACCAGAGGAAATGAAAGTGTTCCGTCCGAACGATGTTGTCAGGCATGAGAAATATGACAAAGTTATTTACGATTACGACATTTCTCTGGTTAGCTAACTTATATTATGTTTTTTCATTGGTCTTTAACCTTTTTCTGGTCATATGCTTGACAATGAGTTTGTTTTATAGCATAATTGAATGCTAATTTTTTGTCATAAACCCGTTCCAATCATAGCTTTATTCAATGAATCTCCTGAACGTATAATATATATATACGGTTTAGAATGCTTGTTACTCTTCGGGTGGCGCGTTGGTTTTGGACACTTTTTAGCTATCACGGCGCTTAGATAAAAGATGGAAAATCTAAGTTGAAGTTCTTTTTTGTAATAAGTTAACAAGTTGGAAATAAATCTATTCTATCTTAGATTCGTATTGGAGCTAGAGTAATTCCAAAAAACAACGTGTTCAAAACGGACGGAAGCTCTGAAAAAAGTAGTTTGATATTTGGAAAGCATGTCAGACCTGTATGTTTACCTTGCATCAATGACCAACAATATCCTTCCGAACCACATGAACAGAAAAGTGTAAATTTTGTTGGGTTTAACGAGAGAAACTGTGGTGAGTATTAGAACACATTTTTACGCTTTGAACAACTGAAGCACAACTTTAGTAAAAATTTAAAACTGACGCAGTAGCACAAGTCGCAATGCTAAACTCGAAACGAATAAAATGACTTACAAAGATAAAAAAAAAAAACATTCAGCAGAAACGCATGATTCATGACCAAGCAAAATAACTAGATGAATCTATAACTTTTTATCAGTGGTTATAAAATATTCATTCCAAGCTAATTAGAAACCCTGAGAGATTTATTGGACACGGAGTGGACCTATGGATCGTTTTGTTATTATGTTGTTGTTGTTCTTTGTTATCGTTATAGAAAAATTGCTTTCCTAGAAGGATATTACTTTTATTTATTTCAAATCGTTATGTGAGCTCTATGGGATTCGTATTCTGTGTGCTATGACGTCATCAAAATTTGCGCACCCAGTGGCGGTTCCCCGAACGCATATCAGCGGATCTCGTGCTCAGCGAACGTCGGCGGATCTCGTGTTTTTTATGGGAAACGGTAGACTGCGGCACGGTACCTATTCTGGTAATACAGAAGTGACTCGGATCAGTTGGTATTTTAATTCAGATGAAAATGAATCATGAATACAGGTACCGTACTTGTAATTTACTGCATATGATTTTCGGAGAATTGGTGATAAAATATTTCATTCTGACCTACGTGTCTATGTATTTGAGCATATCTCTCTTGTTTATTATAAGATTATCAGTTAAAACACAAATATAGAGGAGTTTAGTTCGGGCAAACATATATGGACAGCCCGAATTATATTACTGACAGTTGGGTTTGATATGCTATTATAGTCCGTCGATCTAAACACCCATTTAGGTATTTATCGAAACTGTGGTTTTTGAAAAATAATTTTTCAGCAGTTGTGATTTATTGGAAAAATGTATTCCGATAAGCATATATATAACAGAAACTTGACCTTTATTCACCTGTAAGTAATACCTGGTGCTATCACCTAACTATGATATGGAGTGATATTGTGTGATTTAACGTGCAGGTAACACCAGAAATACTTGAAAAGTCTGATCGCAAATAGATCATCCAGCATTTGTTACTTTGACTTTATTGCAGTACCGCAGTAGTAATGGAAATCAGTGAGTCAGTTTATTCCCGCAGTTACACAAAATTTAATCTATTTAGATAACCATCACTCCGAATATTAACTAAATATAAAAAAAAAACATGAAAAATAGAACTTACAAATAACAAATTCCAGAGCTTAATCTGACATAGGCGCGCTCACTAATAACACAGATAGAAGAGAGCGACCTGCGGGAGAATTTAAAGATGCCAGAATATTAGTCGGAATAAACAGCCAAGTTGGCTCAGTAAAATGTATTGCGGACTCGTGTCGTGTTATAAAGAATGGGATAATACATGTAATTAAATATTAGTTTCAAATTTTGGATAAGAAATCAATTTATTTACCCAAATATCAATGTACTACGATTATAAAATTAAATGGTTATCGCAAGACTGGCATGGTTGCGAAAAAAAAATATTGCGAGAGACTTTTCTATAACACAACCTAGTGACCATAATTAAAATAAGGTAACATTTCTTACATCATCTTTGAACTCCAAAGTATTCAAATTATTCGAAATCTTGCGAACAAAACCCAATCTGCATACACAGGACGATGTTTACGACAGCCATGAAATAAATTTAATAAATATCGAGGAAAATATTGATGAAATACTTAATTGTTTTGAAAATAAAACTAAATATATATAACTTTTGTTCAGAGACTCTCGATTCTAAGAGGAAGGATTCTATCACAATTGTAACTGGTTTTGGAGATAAAACACCAAAGAAAGTATCAGACTTCAAATTGGCGAGATCTCGAGTTATCCGACAGGGCTTGTTAAAAATTTTATCAGCCAAAAAGTAAGAATTTTGTTGGACTAGCAATGTTTAATACAGTATATAACAGTTTTGTGTTAGAAATGCTAAAATTTCAAATTCAGCTGCACCCAGGGTGTAAAAAGAATCCGGTTGAAATGGAACAAAGCGCGATTCACAAATAGAATGCTGTGTGCTTCTAGTGCAGATCCAACAAATATACAAGACGCATGTATAGGAGACAGTGGTGGACCTTTGCTACAACGGGTAATATTCGATAAATGTTATAATGGTCCAAGCTAAGCTCTAGAGACCAGACGTAATATAAGCAAATTTTGTACATAGTTGTTGCATCGTCCAATTCTACGCTGGAAGATTATTCAAATTTCCGTTCGTGATTAGGGTTTTTCTCATTATATAGATTCAAAAATGCTAGTTAAATACCTATTGAGTTGAGAGGTAGTTTTGATAAGTTATTGCAAATTGGAGATAATTATTTTTTCTCTCTAATTTCTGTTCAAATGTTACTTGTTAAAAACTAGATTTTGTTGGCTATAGTTGAATATTTGGGCTAGACGGCAGGCTATGCTATGTATTTTTATTTTATTCGTATTTTTATGAACACAAGTGGTCTAGGCTCGTAGATATAGCCTATATTTTACATTCTTTGTAAAATAATATCCCATGGCGTTTATTTCTCCGATGTTGGCAAGGTATTGGGTAATGTTCGAATTGAGAATCCACCATTTCGTTTTATTGCACAGGTGGTTTCATCTTCTGGTCATTTTTACTGGATTCAAGTTGGAATTATCAGTTGGGGATGGGGGTGCGCAAATACAGACACTGACGGATATACATACCCAGGGTATTACACTGATGTCACATCGGTAGTTCAATGGATTCATGAAACTATTCAAAAGTACATGAAGGAAGAAGCGGCTGAAAAATCAAACAAACCGATGGAAAACCCGCGCATTGGTAATCTAGCTACATCTGTACGCAGTAATCAGAGTAACTACAAAAATGGGCCAATAAATCGTTGCTTCGCTCGGTACATGTAAGAAAGCTTTTAGAAGATGGGAAAATGTTGAAAATAGCTGGATAAATTTGATGTGATGTTTTTCCCATCTCACAGTAGGGTAGTCATTCAATTCTTATTTGCAAATGCCACATGTAAAGGCGTTATGAATAGAATAGGATAAGTTGGATAGAAATTTCATATTTATGTCAGGGAATCTGCGTTTTAAAATTTAATATTATTTTTACAGCCAGGCTGTACATTTTTTTTTATCTGCTGACTGAAAGATCACCGTATAGGACTCTAGGTTACTATGTATGCCTGTTAGTCTTATTGTGGTAAAAATAAAAAATAAATTGTTTTACAGAGCGTAAAAGCAAGATCATTGTATATATTTATGAGGCAAAGAGAGAAATCGTTCACAAATTTACTCTCAATAGACAAACAACGATTCTCCATATAAAACAAGAAATGGAGAATCTTTTCGGATATCGCAAAGAACGCCAACAACTATTTTATGGCCAAACAGAACTTAAAGGAATCAGGACGTTGCAATACTATCATTTTCGTTCCGGGAAAGTAATATATCTTACTTTGAAAAAGAATGCAGATGGAACATGCTAACTACATGCCATAGACACCTAAGTTCAATTATTTATTATGTACTTGGAGCAAGCAACTAATGTCATCCGACATAAAGGAAGAAAAGAAAGTGTCATTTATGGTTGACATCCATTTAATATAATTTTCATATAACATTTAAACATGCTTCGTACTTAAATTGTAAAACTTAAATAAAAAATAAGGTGGAAGTGAATAATGGCTGTCTTAGAGACTTAGACAGTACTTATATCCAAGTAAAAAAGCCAAAGAAGAGGGCCATTGTTCTTTCTCATACACGAACGAGTTATTAAAAGATCAAAAGCATGTTGTGTTCAAATTACTTTGGCGCCACCGTAACAAAACCACTTTAATGGTGAATGGAATTCATTATTGTTTGATCTTCCATTCTGTCATTTCATATCGTTTTACTTTAAGCACGGGCTATCATATTCTGACTAAAGCACTAAGAAATTACGACCAACCACTGTGATAATAATATCTGCATGAAGAACATGCATTCGAAGTGTTATCATTTAAACCGAACGAAATATCAACGTCAACGATTTGTTGGGGTAAAACGTTTTGTCGTTAGAGGGCGCTAGTGTGAAACTCCAAATATGTTATTTCATTTTGTGATTTACTTCGAAATTGATTTCGCTTTGCAATTTATTTTTTCTGACTTTTTTGTGTACTTATGGAATATACTATTTGATATTATTGTTGTATTATATGGTAAATAAACCATGCAAATTTGAGTCAATTGTCGCATAATTACACACATATAAAAGGTAATTTATACTGTGATTATCGAAAGGCTTTATTGTATTGAGTTGAAACTTACGGCGACTATATTATCTGGTTTGGTTAAAACTTATACGAATATTTAGTAAAGTGTAGTAGTTTGTCGTTTAGAATCGAGTCAATCTTTTTCATGAATTTGTTTTTAGAGAATGCAAGCCAAATTAACTATTTGATTAAACTACTCAAACAAAGAAAGTATATATTCATAGTATTTTTCTCAAATAAAACATTCAATAGGCTTTGTGCGCGTGTAGTAAGGCATATTATCAAACTCTCATACAATATATGAGCCTAATTTTCTTGGTTGGTTGGAACACTTTCAGAATTACGTTATATTGAAAATATCTCAATGACGAAGGCGTCGAAACAAATCCATCTAAATTTAACCAAGTTGACTAAATTAGTTTACAAAAAGAAAATTGAAGAATATTTAATATCAATTTCTGAATTATTTATATGGATAAACTAATAGATACTTATTTAAAATAAACTCATTTATCTATTCATAGGCAAATACGCAAACTGCCCTTTGTCTTTGGAAATCTTAAGTCAAATTTTCATTGATTTCAAAATTGATGTTTTTTAAAATATGCTAATTCACGCTTGCTATTTCAAAATTGATTTATGATTATGACGTTGTTTTCTGACGAGAACATGACGAGGCGTGAGAACAGCACATTTTAGATTGTGATCGATTAAAATTCTGTAAATTTACAATAATATCTATTTTTACTTCACTTTACATTAATATGATTAATTTGCCGCCACATATTATTGTTTTAAGAGACAATGACAAAACAAAAGCAGCAGATTACAATTCGTAAATCTAGCATAACATATAACAAACATTGGCTACAAAATATTTTAAAGTTATTCCAATTGTAATTGGTTCGCATAATTTGTCATTTTGAATATTATGAGATTTCAGTCCGATTTTACGTTATGAATTATCCGTGGTTTTTGATGTTTGATTAAAATATGTAGTTTGAAGAATTAGAAAGATAGCGCGACCCGGTCTTGCATGATAGCAGTTTTAAATTAAAAAACACTTGTTTACGCGGTTTGATCTACGGCACACATGTTGCACGAAAAAGCGTGGAGAAAAAAAACGTTTCTGCATGATGAAATAAATCATTTTCTAAATGACAGCCTAAATAAAATATTTGAAATTAACAACTTAAAAACAATACTCAAAAACACTGATGTCTAACATTGGTTAGAATATTTGTATATAGTACACGCATACGTATTCTTGCAGCTTCTGATCATTTAAATAACGCGTCATCTCATGTCCATGGTGTATATTTTCATATGAAATCTCGTTTCACTTTCATAAACGGCTTGCCATTTAGCCCCCGGAGATGAGCTGATATCGGTACGATAAATACAAGCATGACCTCGAAAGGGAAATTATACCGAAGAACTAGCATTTTATGACGTTCAGAAAAGAATGAGGTGAAAAATTACAAAATGATGTAAGGAAGTTAGGTTTTTAATTGCAGTGGACACTTGCGTTTTGATATGGAGAATAATTGAAATAATTTATGACTTGTCGTTATCTTTTGTCCGCGTGTAAATCTTGCCAAAATAGGTCGCACGATATATCATTCTTGATACTAATATATATCCAGCATTTTAGGTATTTATGTTCTTAACAATGTGACGCAATAGTTCTAAAATTAGAACAAAGTTCTATAAACGCAGTAAACGGCAATATACTTTAGGTACAAATTTGTTATATGTGCAACAGTCTAATATTTTGCTTCGGGATACAACCACACTGATATTATTCAAGAATTTGCTGACTTGTTAATTTATTATACACTGATAAATAGGAGACAGAATAAGGACGTAATAGTGTTGACAAGGATATAATAGATGATGGATTTACGTTTGGCGGTAATAGCCATTTTAATGAATGTTTCCGAATCTGCAAAAATGGGTGAGTACAATATTGAACTTTTTAAAATGACCGTCAGGTGTTTGGTCAGCACGTTTAGTGTTTGTTTGTCCTTATATTTTATAAGAAGTTAAACCCGACTTTCCATGTTCATGAGTGTACAATGTGGTAAAATTTTTTATATACGACTTGCTCCCACTTACCTTTGTAACAAATTTCAAAATGAATATACAACTTTCGTATAGTTTTTTTTTCAAATATTTTTAAAAACATAAAATCTGCCGAACGAGATTCAACATTTTTGTCTTTACACTGTTAAAATATTCAGAGAATTTTTGATAATAATGTAAAGTCATTTTATAGGAAATTCGTTGTTTGCGTTCGGTGCCTAGAGCTATTAAACAAAGCTGAACATTTAATATGCATTCATTCTTTCTAAGTCGTGATTTTCAAACCATAAGAAATTTTTGATAAATTATCATATTTTCGATTATGTTTATTACCAAATTTTCTTCCTTGGATTTTGCTATGCAAACTACCTTTTGAAATAGCGTTAGCCACCATGACACGCGATAAAGAATTTGCTAATAACTGTAATTAAACTTTATTGAAAATTTATAATTACATCTTCCACTTGAAATGATAGTACTGTATACTCATAAAGAATGACATTGTCGCAAACAAAAATTTAGGATTCTTTGTTCGTTCGCCGAATACAATAAAATATTAAGTTTCCGTGTATTTCTATATATTTATTATATATTGTGTTGAACAAAATACCCCACTTCTCATTCTACGTCAATAGTCTTGCACTATCAATAATCTGATAAGATATAAAGGAATACCAAAAATGTAAAACAGGGCAAGTAACTATATTTTAAATATCGTTTCAAAATTCTTCCTTCTTTCAAATTCATAACAATAGCATAATATTTGTATTTTAAAATTTAAGATTCAGTTGAAGTTTGGTCCAACTGGCAATCATGGTCAGCATGCAGCGTGACTTGTGGCTTTGGTATAATGAAAAGAGAACGATTTTGCAAGAATTCTCCATCACCGGCCTGCAGGAAGACAGATTCGAGGGCTTGCATACTAAAGAGCTGCAGTGAACCCGATGGTACGCGTAAGTTAAGTAAGTTATAGTATAGGGAAACTTATATTAACATCATTTCTTCAATGAAGCTAAATTCGAATAATTTGTGATTTGATTCAAATATACCAATCATTCCAGTAGATATCTCGTTACAGTCTTCATTAGCATCGTTTCCGCTTTAGTGTCATTGTCAACTGTAACTGGTACACATTTCAGTAAACTAAACACTATAGAAAATTAATAGACTGTGACTATAAGTATAAATGTTTGAACAAAACTTCACAACTAACTTATATTTTTATCAATGTTATAGGAGACGCTTTGACACATTCAAAATGGGGTTCATGGTCAAGGTGTAGTGCATCATGTGGAATTGGAATAACAAGAAGATCACGGATGTGTTTGAACGTGAATTATTCTCCCAGAAAATGCTTACTTCAGCAATCTCGATCGTGTCGTGGTGGTCGATGTGCACCTCAGAAAAAATCAAGTAAGCAACTTGATTTTATATATAGCGTCCTTATTTATCCATTGCAATTCTGCAATCAGCACCCAGTGCATATAATAGAATTGACTTTATTACTTGTGAATATAACAATTTGACAAAAGTGGTATTATTGTAATAAAATCTGGCATCAAGCAACTATTTCGTAATATGATATTATTACATTTGCCTGGAGCGGGTGTAAGTTGATGAGCAACTACAGATTTTTATCAAATTGGTAAGGGGCATTCAACACGTCGACTGTTTTTATATACAGCATTTGTACATTCAAACGTCACCTGTGTCGTGTAATTTCTTCAAAAAAAACTAATTACCGGAAGAATTCGGTTTATTTGATTCGTGAGATAAGGAAAAAGTAATAACGTTTTTGTTCTGGGTTAGTTGTTTTCCCTTTTCATTAAACATTCGCATACTTAGGCTTATGGCCAAGCACAATTCAATATGGTTTGCGTGTTTAAATAAAGGCATGTTGCAGGTATGCTGACGTCCTCTCCGATTTTTTTTTTCAAATCTATTTATTTGATCAGGGTACGCGATAATATTCTGACAATTGCATAGTCTATTCTATTAGATTACGTAGTTTTTCACACTTCGTTTCTCCTAGCATTTTCAGTGGGAATTATTTTTTTCAAAACACTTAACATGAGTACAATAGGTTGAGGTTGCAGAAATGGCGACAGTTTGTGAAAAAGAACAATCGTATAACAACTGATTCCTTTTTACAATAAAATAGTGTGCAAATAGCACATGTTTGTCTTGAAGGATCTGCTCAATCTATGTTATATCGGGTGACACTTTGATATGGGATCTCGTTTGCTTAACGTAATTTCAATCGCATACCAATTTTGGTGCCACTTTGGTATGCGTTTATTCTCATAGAATTAACTTCCTAACCCCAACATTAACTGAAATCACTCAGATCAGACAATCTTTGGGATCAAAGGAGCACCCTATATCTAAGCTAACAACATCACAAATTATTAATTTTACAAATTATCACATTTTTAAAATATTGCAGTGACCACAAACTGGAAATCGTGGAGTCCCTGGACAGCATGCAGTGCATCATGTGGAGGGGGACAAAGAACCAGAACTCGGACGTGTCAACGTCAAAATATGGAGACAAAATGTGTTCATACTGAAACAGACCCGCATTGCAACGATATTAGATGTCCTACCAGACGTGGTAAAATGAAATATTTTTTAATAAAATAATTTTTGTTATTTGGAACAGAACTACATATAATACCAATCCGGTCTTGCCCATATTGATATTACCGTTGGGGATTCGTGTTCCCAGAATTATGCATTGTGTTAGATTGTACTGATTCATGCTTTGTTTGTTTAAAACGGCGCTACAGGACACATTATAGCGGTTACGTTAATGGAAATACTTAATGTACTCGCACATATACTGTAATATGTCTTATATTATTCTGGTTTAAGTGGTAAGCTTAAAGTGATACAATCAGCGTGCCAGTTGGAGAGCCACCCGGCTCTCTTCAAATATGGGTTCATCATTCTTATAGAAATGTTTCGTCATATTCTTGGAAATCGCCTTTCAAATGAATGAAATTATTCAAAAGACCGTGGATTGTGTGATTCACGTAGCATTCATAGTAAATATTTCGCTGATTTCTTCAGCAGGATTTTCTTGACGCAGTTGACACAAACTATAGGTTCAAAGTAAAAAAAAACTTGACAGTAAAGTAGATAAACTTAGTGTTAAGGTAGTTTGTAACCATACGGCCATTTTAAATACAGATCAATAAGGCGACCCATATTTATTTGTAGCTACGTGGGGATCTTGGTCATATTGGTCAAAATGTACAAAGACCTGTGGACGTGGTTTGAAAATTAGAAAACGAGTTTGTAATAACATGGCAATGTCATCATCTCGATGTCCAGGGAGAAGAGAACAAGTGTATTCATGCGAAAGTTCAAATCCGTGTCCAAAAGGTAAATTCCATTTGTATTGCTTTATTATTCGTGTAATGGTAAGCCTACATATACATTTTGTACTAGAAATGGAACGCAGTATTATTTGCATATATATATATATATATATATATATATACAACTTTTCGCTGAATCTGTATTACACAGCAAGTACGACATTTCTTATATCTAAATTCGCTACTGTGGAGGATATTTATTATCAAACAAATGCTTTCAATTTTGCATTGTCACTCCTGTCAAGATAGGGCATCAAATTATATTCCCATAGTCGATGAATATGTTGCGCTGTCGCACAAAGTAAAAAAGAAAGATATTTGCTTAGAAATGAGCATGGGTCCCTTAACTTAGGAAAGTATGTGTGCGCACTTTTAGTTTATTACAAGTTCAAGTCAATTTAAATGAGCAGGCTCTCGAGACAGAAGAGCTCATAAGTTGAAAATTACAAGTTAAAAAAATCTTCCTAAAAATCATTATCTTAACTTTTACATAGCAGTATTTTCTATTACTCTGTGAATAACGATGTTGAGAACATATATTCAAATTGATCAAAACACAAACTTTAGATATGGCGCATGTTGCCGAAACTAAGTAACTATTTTTTTGTTTTTGTTACTTTTAAAGGCGAGTTAATTGCGTGACATATTGTAAGAGTGTGCTTACGCACGTAATACATTCATCAAATGGCACCGCTGGCATTCTTTCATTCTCTTATATGGTAACAATAGTTCCGCACATCTTGGTTCTGCGTTTGAAGGTAGTTTGATTAGAATTTAAATTATCCTTATAGCCTGCTGACTATATTAGCCTGGTGTCTATTATTTTCTATAAGTGTTTGTATATAAAATTGTTTCAATACACGAATGATAGTCACGAAATGATATTTAAAACCATTGGCACCAAAATATTTGAATTATCAGAATTTTACTAGTTATAAATTTATTGATGCAAATATTACCAATTAATCAATTGCACGCCATTTGTGGCATCGCTTCATAGTTCTAGAGAATGAAAGAGAGAAAGTTTTATAAACAGAATTGCACCTGATTACTACCAAAGCATATTGTATGAATACAATTGCTGTAAAACTATACAGATATCGATCATGTCGGAATTAGTATTCTTTTTTACGATGGAAATAAAAAAAATTGGGTATTTAAAATAATTTTTTTTCGCGAAAAAGCAAATCAGTATATTCATGATATTCCATACGGAAAACTATGAACTTTTAAACGGCGTGATGGACAGGTGCGTTGGTTGACGTAAAAAAGTCATGTTTAGTTGCGTCATATTGTGGAAGTAGGTGATAATTGTGTGTGTACGACGTCAATGGGTTTGAACCAAATGGAAAATCGAATGCCCAGTTGAAAACAATTACACTCAACTATGTTAATTGAAATGCTAATTAATAGTAATAATCTATAATTTAGTGTCACGCATAATTTGTCATCATCGAAATCAATTAGACCATTGTGTTTAAGTGTAAATTAGTCACGAGTGTAACCACAGCAACAAGAAGATTTTGGTAGCATAAAATTAAACGTTCTTAGGAAAGAGTTGCAGTATCTGTCTTTTCCCCATACAACCGCAAGTTGATTTAAAATTGCAGCAAACTTTATACAATTTTATATCATCTTCAGTTTACTATAGTCTAATATAAAACCAAATATAACTAACAGTATTCATCTAAGATAACTATAAATTTATCTAAATATTTGTAAAAGTTCCACGTTTGGTTTCTGTGAAATATAGGTACGAATAGTAGTTGAAAAAAATTTCCTAGTTGAAAATGCATTGGCCACGGGATGCGAGATATTTTAGTGACTAAATTCTAAACAAAAGTTCTAAATAATCTACAGAATAAAATATAAATTATATCCATGCAAGAATCGGTTCAAGATTCTAAAGAAACTAAAGAATTCAAAAAACTAAAAATGCGTATATATATACATGAGAAATATGATATGTTATATTGTATCGAAATTATTAAAAATTCGGAAAAACAGGTTTCGGATGATACTCGTAACATAGATATAAATAAGTATGGTATTTTGAAACTGCTGAATACGAAATTTGAATAGTTCTTGTGAAATTTTAGTCAGTCTTGTATTTTTCTCTTTTTAGACAACTGGACCTCGTGGGGTGATTGGACCAAATGCTCAAAATCATGTGGCAACGGAACAAAAATAAGAAAAAGAGCCTGCCCTGGTGGAATGCCAAGTCGAGGAAACTGCCTCGGTTTGGATGAAGAAAATACGCCATGCTTGTTGAAAGAATGTGTCAAAGGTAAAGATAATACTCTTCCCCTATTCAGATACGTGTAAACAAATATTTTTATACCAAGAATCATGTTATAATCATGTGATAAGCACTCGTAAATCAGAGTTCCGAATAGATCGACGCATTCGAAATTTCGGAATCAAACTTTTTGATTTGAATCACACGACATAACATGGATACAAATAAACAGAAAAGTTTTCAATGAACTGGTATAATATTCAGTTGTGTTTTCAGAATCATGGACCTCATGGGGCGAGTGGAGTCAGTGTTCCCTAAGTTGTGGGTCTGGAACAACAATTAGAAAGAGAGCATGTAAAGGCGGAGAAACAAATCGGGGAAATTGTCCAGGTGCTAATGAAGAAAGTGCACCATGTAACAAAAAAAAATGTGTGCAAGGTTCGTAAGTTTTTGAATCATCAATCTTGTAAACTTGTGAGCATGTGAGGATATCACGCAACATTATAATGGTCCCCTAATTGAAATGTTTAGATACGTTGAGAGAAATGAAAATAATGAAGTTTATCTTTAAAATAATCTCTTTTGCTATTGAGCATTTTTTAAAACGAGTCTATATTCAGGTCTCTTTTTGTCTATTACCGTCAAAAGCCTTTTTATTTCAACAATGCTACAGATGAACAAAACAAAATACATATTCGGAACAGCAGAAAGAGCTCGAACGAGGCCATTCTAATAGAATTTATGGTTATATATGTATATCCTCATTTCTAACTAACACATGGGTTCCAAACGGAGTGGAGTAATGATTTTGTTTCTTTATAGAAGGATCTGAACCTGCTTGGACCGAATGGGGAAGTTGGAGTGCGTGCGCTAAATCGTGCGGTCCTAGTTGGAAGAGTCGTACCAGAGTCTGTTTGAATAACGGAGATTTTTCATTCAATTGCATTGGACATCCCGTCATATATGATAAATGTTTTATCGACTGTTCAGGTAAGATAATTTTAAGGTAGCATTGCTAATGTATAACCCTCTACTATGGTTTGAAGAAAGTATTACACTAGTATAGTTTGTTTATGACTGATTGACTGTCGAGTTCAAATTTTATACAACAACGCTAATCGATCAAATCAAATTGAAAACCAAAGAGCTTTGGTATTCCCGTCACTCGTAATCTTTTTTCTGAACAATTTGGATTATCCGTGTTTGCATATTTATAATTCTGAATACTATTTCAATACCATTTTGAATTCTTAGAAATTTTTATTTGGTATGTGGTTAAGTTTTCTGTACAACTATTATTCTGTGGCGTGACTGAAAATTTTGGAATTGAGGAAACGCGAGAATTAATGTTAAAAAGTCTGTAGTCCGTGCGAAAGTTTGTTATATGTTTGTTGCATAAATATCTCGTCATCGGATTGTTGTGAAATTTGTCACATTTTTATGCTTGGCACTCTAAGCGATTTATTTGTCAAGTTTACAATTTTCACAGAAGTGAGTTGAATTCATATATATTTAGCCATTTTGTTCAAAAATGACTTCAGGCGATTTATACGTATTGTGGAAATTTTTATGGTCTATTTAATATTCTGTAATATATGCTTGAGGTACATAAATCTCAAATGAATATAAAGAGCACATTAGATCAGGCGATATGCGTCATAGCTGACAATGAACTATTCTGCTGTGGTTTGCTCTTGATTCTCATAAGTACTTTACCTCCTATTTCGAGTTACAAAAATCTATTTGAATTGGTCAGATTTCTTTTCAAACTGGTTACAAAAAGACAATGCGAGTATAAAACACTACTAAACAATTTAATGACGTTAGTGATGTGAAAATATGTCACAAGATTTTTCACTTGTGGTTCGCAGGCCTGAATTTGGACCACCCTGCCGACATAAACCATGCATGATTATTGCGATTTTCTTGTAGTAAATAATGATTGCTGCCAATGATTACTATATTTGTCTCGAAATGAAACATTTATTTTTGCCTCGTTTTTAAAATTTGTATTCTATAAATCAGCTACCGAGCCATGGGGTCCTTGGGGATTGTGTTCTGCAACGTGCAATTCGGGTGTCAGAACGAGAACAAGAAAATGCCGGTCTGGACCTAGATGTAAGAAAGGAAAACAGAAGCAAACTGATCCAAAACCATGTAACCCAGGGAAATGTATTGGTGCGTTTTTTCTCAATTCTGTTCTCCCAACCACATAACTTGACTGTATTATACGCCCGATACATGTGCTTCGAATTCAACTATTTCTAACTATCTACCAATATATTTGCCGCATTGGTTGTATTTTAATAAATTATTGGAACAATTGACAGTGAGCTATCTGAGCTCGCGGATGAGATATATTGAGAATTTTCTAAAAAGAAGCCATAACCTGAATATTTTTGTAGATTATAGCAAATGCGGACAAGCCGGAGATGAACGTAATATATTACTCGAGGAAGTGGTCGGCAGAGTTGTGAGAGGCAGTGATGCTGCAAATGCCGCTTGGCCTTGGCAAGTGATGATTGCAAACAAATACGACAATGTTAAAGAGGTAAATATTATTTTCAATTGTACAACTGTTAGTCGGAAAATGAGAAAATATGTCGTCAAAGTTGCAATGTATTCAAATTAACAATAGATTTCGAAAATATCTGCTTTTGTGTGAACATCAGTGACTTTCAAAAATTCCAGAATGGTCCCAGAATTTCTCAAATCAAAACGAGGTATTACGTGGGTTTAACATATAGATGCAGACGCGAAAGAAATTCGACTAGAATTTAAAAATGACCAGCTTCTACTTCGACAATTCAAAATATAGAAACCACTTGTTTCATCTTATTTGTTGAAAATATTATTTGAGGTTGTTTATTGGCAGTTTCTTATTTATTACTTTTGTAGAGTTACAAGAGTCTGGTAGGCGGAGGTTCCATTATCAACAATAAGTGGATATTAACTGCATCACACATCATTCGTTCTGATTTACGGAGAATCATCATGATATTGGGTGAATATAACATTTTTTTATACTGAAGTGAAATTCATCGACGTAGTTATTCAGATGCAAAACTGATTTTTGCAACGTCATTCAATTTTAGATTAGATAAATTGTGTGTCAAGCTTAGATATTTAATTACGTCTCTTCCTGGTCGAATACTGATTATCGTAATATCTCAATGCGTATATGAAATTTAATTACCAATAAATTATTGTCGTATTGGCAGGCTTGACCAAAATTCCAGAGATGGACGAACGAACACCAGACCATATTAGAATAGTGGAACCAGCTCGAATGATGCGACATCCGAAAAGCGTTCCCAATGATTTTGATTACGACGCCGCTCTTGTAAGTTATTCAATAATACCTAAAAGTTAAGCATCGGTGAATTTCTGTTCTATTTAACCATTTATGAGTCATATTCAGATTTTATAAACTTTCATAGAAATTATTTGAGCGTTCAACGTATGCATGATATGAAACTCCGTCTAAATTAATTAGGCATCGCCAGTATAGGGCTGGGAAGGGATAACCAGTTAACCGATTCGGAATTGTTAACGGTTACGATTTATTTTGATCCCAGATACAAACTACCTTTATACTGTACAATTTCTTCAAAAATGATTAGTTAAAGTTAACCTTCTACTCGGAGTTGGCAACAGTTTTTTAATTGAAAAAAAATATTTTTAAATTAGCTTGAAATTGGAAAGCGTATCATCATCGATGAAAAAGGACGAATTGTTGGCAAAGAAGATTTTAAATTGTCGTTTTCTGAGCAGATCAGACCTGTCTGTTTGCCATGCCTTTCTCATTATGGAGGAAAACCGGGACAATTCGTAAACGGTGTCCGACTTAGGAAACCAACCAATCCCCCTTGTTCAGGTATTCAATAAACAAATGATTTTGTTATTTATGTAGAGTACCTAAATCTTTCATTATTGCTTGCCATGAAGCTGAAAGGAAACATTTTTACAATACACAATATTATTAACAATATAATATTGTGGTAAAATATATCAAAGGGTAATTACTTATCGATCTTGATCTCGATAAGTCTTCGGTTTCCAACCGAATTCTAGTTATAATATTAATATATAATAATAATAATAAACAGCAGACAAAGAATATAATCACTATTTCAGGAAGAAAACTTCTGAGACCTGGAAATAAAGTTGTAGTAACGGGATATGGTGATCAAAATCCAATTCTCACTCACGGAGACAAACCGCAATTACCACCAATTCTTCAGCAAGGTTTACTGAAATTGCTTGACAATAATGGGTAAATAATATACTGTATCGCCATCAATATTGTTTATAGGAATCGTGACCTCTGCTTCTGCATTAAAAAAAATGAAACAGTATCAATATCAATCCGATGATGTTTAAATAAAGTCACAGACAATCACCAAGTTACACTGATGTTTATTGCTTAAAAAGTCATGCTGTATCTTTATTTATAGATCTTTGTTTGAGTGCGTTATAAAAAAGCATATCTTCCGAAAATGCCAAATAAAGTGAATAGCGGTGATTGTTTCATGTTATAAACCGTGTGCGGTACTGATCTATCCAAATATATTTCGCTTGGTATTATAATATATTTAATTCGAAACAAATTTAGATGTGCTAAAGGACGTAGAGTAATCAAAAGAGTGTCTGCATGGGCTGACGCGAAGTTCACTAGTAGAATGCTATGCGCAAACTCGGCCATGAAAAGGCCGGTTGTGGATGCTTGTCGTGGAGACAGTGGCGGACCTCTAACGAAAATGGTAGGTTGCAAATATGGCCAATATAACGATTGCTTTAATTGTGTATACTAATAAAATTTATACTTAGACATTATTTAAATAAGAACAAGGCCAATTCTACCTATAACCTTATTAGGTATAGGCCAAAATATCGAAGAACAATACTCAAGCTGTTTTAGTGCTTATACGAAACAATTCGTGAGTAATTAGTTCGCTTTCATCGTATAGCTTTAATAACAATATCGTAAGTAAATTCAGCTGCATCAGGCAAATCATATTTTACATGTTTGCTACAGCGCTATAGTTTTTATGACGTCGAGAATGCGATCTCGTGCTAGAAAGAGTGGCGGACTACGTGCAATAAATTAAGCTTATCTGTTACTTCATAAATCTAAAAATACGGCTTTCTGTTATCAAGTAGATTTTAATCCAAACCTCTATTTAACGCTTTCTCAAAACTGTTCATAATTCTACCTGAGAATCACACATCTTTGATTGTGAATTACCACTTATTACATATATATTTGAGTACCTTTATTCTTCAACAGAGCCTTTGAATTATATGCAAATTTCCATCTGTTTATAAAATTGTATAATTCACGTTATAAATAAGATAATGAGAATCTTTATCTTTAGAACTTTTGTAAATTACAAGTAAACAAAGGTGTCGTGTTTCATTGATTTTCATGTGCGTCCAAACTGGTTTATTTTTCTTATAATTATCCTATAACTATTTATAGGGTTGTTTAGTCTAGCATTGTACCAAGCATCATAGTATATTAATTAACCTATAAATAAGCGAATATATTTCTAACTGAACATATTAATAGTGATAAATTATAATTATATATTAATTCTTCAATATACAAACGATATTTATTGCTGAACCTGGTGACATATAGGTGACAGAAAATATCTAAAGTATTTTGAAACCGTATAATAGTATTTATTTATGTTTCCATTTCAGGTTTCCACACCCAAAGGAGGAAGATACTGGGTTCAAGTGGGTATTGTAAGTTGGGGACTTGGTTGCGCACATCAACGACCGAACAACTACACGATACCTGGATATTTCACGAACGTTTTTTCTATTAGGCAATGGTTATTGAAAACGATGTCTACATAACTAATATTATGGTTAATAATTTTTACTTTAATTTGCTAACTAAAAGCCGTCAGAGAATATAATAAACTATTTTTTCTATTTTATAGTAATGTATATTCACTTGAGAGTTCAATTTTTTTATATTCCCTCTTTTATTTTTGTAAATTCATTATGAAACATTCCATTAAGTATTCTATATTTCTAATTAAAATAGAAATGGCACTGCTTGTTTTTTGTGAGATTAATGATGATTGTCTTTTAACCTTACTAGCCAATTAGTCACTATTCAGAATACGTCTTGAGCCTTTAAATTGGAAGAATTCGTTGTCAATTTCCCAAATTTGTTCGACAAATTGGGCTCTATCATATTGACTGGATATATTGATTATCAATTTGAGAAAATTTTATTTATCCCTGTCGAAGTGTAATCCACAGATACACCGATTTATAATTGCCTTAATACTTTTTTTGTAAGCTAAGGACTGCAGCGCAGTTCATTTCACTTTCTGTATATTATTAGACACCAAAGATATATTATTTATCTCGATTGATCCATTGACAACATTCATCAAAGCGCAGCTATTTCCTGTAAGAATAGCGGAAATGAGGCTTGCAATGTTGTGTTTTTAGTCAATAACATCAGATATTGTTTTACAAAATATATGGAAGACTTGAGCTGGTCGCAAGTTAACCATGAAAATATTTTCTACAATATTCAATTCCTCATTTCTAGCGTATTGTATATTTTAACGCTTTATATATTTATTTATATAAACATTCGATGCAACGTTTTGCTCTGAATTACGTTTGCACTAATTTAAAATTGTTTATTATCGTATCGTTTCGTTTTTGCCACGTATTTTGTTTTTTATTTCATGAGTTATTATCGGGCCAGAAAGTTACTGGGCAATTTATGCTGAGTCTGGTCTACCTCTGTTATATCTCGTGCTTTACAAATCAATGATATATTCTTTATATATGGGTTTTTTGTATTTCGGGTTGTATGAAGAGCAATTGTATATCGAGCATTATAGACAGTTTTATTTCGAACCTCGACATTTCACCAATGAAGCCGAAATAACGTGAAGCCTGATTTTTACATTAACTCCACGAAATACCAAACGTGATTAGAGGGATAGATCGTGGGGTCAGCCACAGCATCTGATTTGGTGAACACTTCAGAACGGGTGCGAGAATAGTGAATCATTAATGTAGGCAAATAATCTGAAAGGAGTCCGTATACATGCGTATACATGCGTTGAAAACCACGCATGAAAATGAGCCAGCTCTAAAAATGAATGGCGCTAGAGCGTTAGTCAAGTATCCGCTAGTGCTAGTCGCTACCCGGCCGAGCTGTTCCACGACGCCATGTTGCGACGATTAGGAATGCCGCGGTGGCGCGTGGAGCACGCGTGGAGCAGACGTCGGTGCGGATCTTGGTGATAGTAGCAAATATTTCAATGAGAGCTTTGAAGTTTGAAGGGTTCCATGTGAACAGGCCATGCCCATAACAGCAGCAGGTATCCAAGGTGAACAGCCTCTGGCCGACGGAATAATGTAGGCAAGAGAAGCCGGTAAATCGCATCCGTGCAAACTGGTAGGTGCCTAGGATCTCCGAAGATACATGAGGCGGCTTGCACTTCAGTAAACAGTTACAATCCACGCAAAATGGCACATATATATAACGATAACGTAACGACAGTGACCGGGATACCGAAACTACCAGTTCATTTGAGGGCTGGGCGTCTCGTCGGTATCCTTGAGTGAGCGGCATACCGCGGCTAATAATTAACCAGTTCACTAAAATCCCCAATATAGATTAACGAGATGAAAAATGGCTTGTTAGAAAGAGTATTTATTTCTTCGACGGGTGGAAATCTCGGAATTTCAATTTTTGAGATAGTTTACGAGATAACGGCGACAAATTGTGAAAACAAAAACTAGAAATTTCCCAACGATCGACCAGTTTTTTCTTTGATGCCATGGAAATGAAACACAACAGTGACAGCACAATCCACGGGATAAATCTCAATCAGACCAAAGTGACTATAATGTTATAGTCACTTTGAATCAGACCGGCCAGCAGCCTAGACGCTACAGCGAAACACACAGACAGAACGACTTATAATAAGGGTCACCTAGACTAGAGCGAAGATCCAAAATTTGGGAAAAGAATAGGCTCTTACTTAAGTCGGCCGGGCTCAAGTACAAGGCGGGTGCCGGAACTAGGCAAAAGCATTCTACTTCAAGGCAACTGGCGTGAGCTCGGACTTGCGTTCTGTTCCCATTTGCAAACTGTCGTGGCTGCGCGGGCCTCATGTCGTCCGGCGTTGAACAGACAGACTGGTACGTACCATGGCAATTCCATTGTATAATTATAACAAGAGAGCTATGCACAAATATATGGACGCGTTTGAAGTACCGAAGTAAATGAAAGTAATTGCCGTCTAAAAAAAATTTTTATCTTTAAGCACTGAAAACTTCAGAGCAATTGATCTAGTAATGAAAGATAAAAGCGACTTTTTAGGATTAGGTAACAAGTAGGCGTGGCTTTCCACACGTTTTCTCACCACTGAGGGGGCGGAGGCACTGCCCTCTCCCCCAATGTCACTTGAGAAAATTCCCATTGCCCGGGCGAACGCTTTCCCGCTCCGAGAACGGAGATTACCGGCCTCTAAACGCCAAAATCACTCTAGTGTGACTAGATCGATGACTTGATTGACAGGTAGCCTACTCGGGCCACTAAAAGCCTGTTTTGTCCCACATCCAATTTCAACGTGAATTGAAATACCAAGTGATCCAAGTCACTTATCCATTACGGTACCAGGGCAAAATAAAATAAAAATATCGATTCCCCGATAACTTACAAGTACCTGAAATTCGTTCGCAGAACGGTTATTTCTTGTCATATAAGAACTCAATTCATTTCCTCTTATCAAATACAAAAAAAAGGTAGGCTACAAAATTTATGTTGTTTACATCAGAACTGTAACAAAAAGATGAGAGCGTAATTCACTGCGGTACCGTACGGTACCTTACCAGTACTGCAGTACCTGTTGCTGTATGTAGGCCTGCTATTCGATCGTGGAATGGTTCTTCTCTGGCATATAAAAACTATTTGAAATAAATAAAAGTAATAGCCTTCTGGAGAAAAATTTTATCTGTAACCACTGAAAATTTCAAAGAAATTGGTCCAGTAATCAAAGAGAAAAGCGACTTTTCAGATTTTCCACTAGGTGTCCAAAAAGTGCCAAAGAACAAGTACAACAAGAGAGCTACGCACAAATATATGGACACGTTAGACCAGAGCGAATCAGTCTTTACCGGTACCTTTGACGCTACCGGTACCCTCAAAAAAGTTCTGAATTTCCAGTAGCAAGAATTTTGCAGAATCAAAACGTACAGCCAGTCATGACACTGACTAAAATCCGTGTTCCCATGGATAAAAAATAATACAGCAAAATTTTAGACGAAATATATATAAAAATTTCATAGAATTCACGCAAAATTTTGAAATAAATAAAAGTAATAGCCTTCTAGCGAAGAAATTAATCTTTAACCACTGAAAATTTCAAAGCAATTGGTCCAGTATTCGAAGAGAAAAGCGATTTTTTAAAAACGTGTCAAAGAACAAGAACAACAACAACATAATATTGAAACGATCGTTATGGCCACTAAACGTGTCCAACAACATAATATTGAAACGATCGCTATGTCCCATACGTGTCCAATCATTAGGGTCCGGTATTTCTGCACCTACATGATATAAACCACATTTCAGCATTTTTAGGTAAATCAACCCCGTGTAACTCTCGATATTTGGTCCCGATGTTGGATTCGCCGTCACGCCCGACTAGGCGCAGACAGGTTATTGCTTCCAAAATCATCGTGCGTTTTCCTGTGTTCTGACGGCATTGTCTAACGACAAGATTAAGTGAGTGGCTTTATAAATGTTCAAATTAGTTGTGCATCAACATTTATACAGATTTTATTATAGAATGCAGATTACAAAACATTTGAGAAATCATTTGAGAGGGAAGGTCCTACTACTTGAAAGCATGTTGACAAATGACAGTAATATCTGAAGATTTTAAATTCACTTTAAGGCTCCAATGAGTAAATGTAGTAGAGAATCCCTTTGTGCTATGAGTGTTCAGCATAAAAAGAGTAAGTTGTGAATGTCCTAGGTAGCCAATACAGTAATGATTTGTCAAGGAATGTAAATTTTAATAAAAGATCAAGATATTATGTAACCTAATATGTATACTTTCAGGAAGAAAAGGATCATAAAAAGTTGCAGTGTGAGGATTTATGATGTGTAGCAGTAAGCAAGGATATAAATTGACTAATAGGTGATGATTTATCTCAAAAATCAGAATCAACTTAGACCAGTGATTTCCCTACACCCCCCCTATAGGGGGTGAACACCCCCCCTAAAATTTCAAACACCCCCCCTAATTTTGAGATGCGATTCCAAACTGAGGGGTTCTAAACCGCAGTCTGCGGGCCAATTAGGGCCCGCGTAACGATTTAAAATGGCCCGCCGAACTTGAGTGAAATAGTTTAACCCTTCATGTGGTACCTTTTGAGTTTTAGATATCGTCTATTGTTACATCATTATCACAGTTTAAGCACGTTTATTTCGTAACAATTGAATTATTCCGATATCTTATGTATACGTATGGGTATTAGGATTACACTGCAGTATTTTAGATATCAGCCGTATATTAAGAAAGCTTAAAGATGTCACAAAACGAAAACTAGGCACTGAAAGCAGACGTTTTTTAGATGAATGACAGCGTTTTTATTTCTTTATTGAAAAGAATCAAACTTCAGCGATTTGTCTTCTTACCAACAAAATATTTCAGTTCTGAAGGAATACAACATTATGCGACATTATGATCAGTTGACGAGCGTATTTCAAAATTTAATTCATACAAAAGTCAAACAAACATGTTCAAAAAAATTAGAAATGTGTAACAAAACTAGCCATAAGTAGGCATTCATACAATGCCAGATGAGCAAGTAACTTCATTAGTCACTATCAGTTGCAAATTACTTGTTGAAACGTAGTAGTATATATTTACGGTTGAAAGCCGTGCTTGTTATCTATTCCCCGGGAATTCTATCAGCTAGATATTATAACTATTGATTTCATTACATAACAAACTGCGATGCTAGGTGTATCTAAAATCAAGCTTATAGCCTATTATGGTAACTATTTCTCAGAATTTTCTTCGCTTAGCGCCCTGAACCCCAGCCGTGTCGTCCCGCACTTTTCCTCGCTCCCCTTTTCTGGCCCTACAATTTCATTCTGCTGTGGATTGGCTCGCCGTCAATCAACTTACGGGGGACCTCATGTACATCGTTTCTTAAATACATACCATTTTTTTAAGAATACAAATAGCCTAGTTTTATCTCTAAAAGCAAATTATTTACCACCCCCTAAATTTTGAAACACCCCCCCTAAAAATAAAAGCTGGGGAACATACTGACTTAGACTACTCCATACAGCCATATCAATGAAAATTTTTGATTGCGGAACTAAAACTTTCGGCAAAAAAGATATATGGTGAACGATATCACCCTGAAATTTTAAGGTCGGTATGAAAACATAAATTGAACACACATATTTTAACTTCAAATATTGAGTGTTTTATGATGGATTTTTTTCCATTCATTCTGTCATTGTATACGAAGTCACCAGTTGCATATGACAACATAAGAGGTGCTTTACGTTTGCCATGTGAATCCATTTTGCTTGATTTCAGACTGGTACTAATACCCTTATTCACATAAATTGGATACCTATCATTGCTATTATCTAAACATGGCTTCAACATATGTATATTTATAACTTTGGATATGCCAAAAAAATTTTGCATTATTTTGTCGAGTGTTTTTAAATTATTGATTTGTAATAAATAGCAATAACTTTTTTGCTAC